AACATTGTTGCCGTTTGCGAATATCCTTCTGCTGAAATCTTATTATCGAACAGGGCAAAAACAGATTGGGGGTCAGAGTGTGTGGGGCTTTCCAAATTGAGGTGAATTTAGACAGAGGGCGAGATCTCATGTCTTCTCATGTGCAGTGCTCCTGTCTGAGAAGGACTTGACCTTCTCACACTTTGTTCCGTCTTCATCACCAGATCTTGAAATGACCTTCTGAATGACTTCATTCTCTCTTTCTCTCTCTTTCTGTAGAATTGGTCGGGAATGAAGTGTCAGTTTAAGTTATTCCGGATGGCCATGGCTCTGGTTTGCAGTAAGTCTGAATAAAAATGAATCTCTCCCCTTTCACCTCAACTTCAGTATCATTTTTCAAAAAAGTACTTTTAATCTATTTGTCGAGCTATTCCATCACCAGAATTTAATATCCTTATTAGAGAAAAAGTGATTTTGCTCCAAAGGCAGCAACAATAAAATGTCTGGCTTCAGCTTATTGAGGATGTTTCAATAAGACCCAGTGAACACGGCAATCCAAACTCTGCCACGATTTCATGTCTTTACTTGCCTCGGATACATGCCTGTGAGGGGGACAAGATCATATTTGTATTTTCTTTTATATGTCCCTCTTTTCCAAGATACAAATACAAACAAAAGGAGGTGAAAAAATAGTGGTATGTTCACTTGCTTACATTATTTAAAAGCAAGCAGAATCACTACTAGATTGTGACCTGCAACACAGCCCCAAAGCACTGAGTGAGCTGATAAATTAAATGAATTTATTTATCTAAAGTTGATATGTTAATAAATGTTAACAACTTGTGTTTGACACATCTACTTAGTAAACTCCTAAGTTACATAAGTTAACCTCCCTGAGTATTATAGTAAAATAAATCCATCTTTCTGTTGTTATCTATCCATGACAGCTCAGAAAATGTTAAAATAAGTCTTTGTTGGCCATCGACTCTAAAGTGCATCATTGTTTTATAACATTTTCACAAGTGCACTGTAGGTCAGGAACTAAGAACAAACCTTGCTTACATTGTGTTTTCTCTGTCTCCCTCTGTCTGCTCTCAGTGAGTGTAGAGTTTGGTCGGGCTGTGTGGCTGCGCTTCTACCCCCCGGCCTTTCCTCCGTGCCCCAATCCCAGCTTCGTAGCCCACCTGGGAGGGGTGATGGTTGGGCTGACGCTGGGTGTAGTGGTCCTGCAGAACTACGAGCAGCGCCTCCAGGAGCAGTCCCTGTTTTGGATCTTCTTCTGCGTCTACACCTTGTTTGTGCTCTGCGCTGTCTTCTGGAATATCTTTGCCTACAGCCTGCTTGACGTGCGACTGCCTCCACCACCTTGACTTGATTATCAGAGGCAGATTTGACACTGTATCCCCATTATTTCTCCATCGGTAGATCCCTTACCACCTCGCTGGATGACTCACCCAGCCCTGATACTCTCTGATGCAGGGATGCACCTGACATGCAGAGGCCCATGGTTGCCGGTTATGTCATACCTTTTTCAGCCCATCTGTTCCTTATTGGTTAAATGTTGCCGTTGTTTTTCGCTTACCATACAAGCTAACCTCAGCCTGCTCTTTGTCAACATCTCTCTTGGACATTTGTCTAAAAAGTAACAGTCAGTTGGAAATGTTTAGACATCACAATGACAAATGAGAAGCCTCGGATCTAACGCGACAGGATCAAGCAGGAATAGTCCTGTAAACCTGGCTAAACTTCCTCTGCCTATTCCTTCTCAATTCAACGGTGCCTTCTCATGGAGACGTCAGCCTGATGAAAGTATTTCTGCACAGTCACACCTTGTGTTTCATGACAGCAGTAAAACCCTGCTGTACAAACCGTTTTCAGAAAGAAGAGTTCCTGAAAATATTTTACTCTGCCTGCAGCCCAATTGTCAGTAAATGAAGAATAAGGTCATGCTAGAATGTAGGCATAGTTTGTGTTTTGTCATCATTTCAAGCAGCCTATAAATAAGCAGGAGAGGTTAATATTAAAACAGATGGCAGGATAGCCAAACCTTCCCAAAATTGTAGGTGGAGTTACCGCAACTTTCAAAAGTTATGAATTTTTCTTTGAAGAAAAGTGTGGGTTACTATTCAGTGTTGCCTCACTCATGTGACACTTGCCCAGATAATTATGTTTTGTGTTCAACACTATTTGAACCTTAAACGTGTGTCTTTTGACTTTTGTGTGTGCAAGGAGTGTGACAATTGTTCATACAGAAAAAAAGAAAAAGAAGCAGAAGTGCCATTTAGACTTTTAAGCTTTCAAACACGATGCCAAAACTACTACTAGCACTGGAGGGAAAGAGCACATCCCCAGAAAATAATAGTTTTTGTGCAATGAAAATGAATCTATTTTTGTTCTGTTATGTATCGATCATACAGTATGTGACAGAAAAAGGTCATGATCTCTAAGGAATCTCTCACCTTGGGGGAACCCTAAAATGAAGTCGATTATTTGTAATTGTGTTGTCCCCTCTGGGCAATTGCAGTAATTGTTTGTGATTGGTTGAAAAATACCGATGAAGTGGCAACAATTTATTTATTGATTGGTGAGTAGGTGAATTACGTCAAATGGGATCAGACTAAAGCAACATCCACCAGTGTGGACAACTGGGCCATTTTGAAGAAATGTAGTATTTTCTCATTACCAAACATAGAAGAGCACACATGCCTGACCTCGCCTACATCCGGGCTGGGGTCGTTTAACTCATATCAGGAGGCGTTGGGGGAGAGAAGTAAATCAATGCTCCCTCATTACTTCTTGTCACAACGTAAATTGTTAATTGATTGAACTGGGATAGAAAACGACCCCAGCCCTAAGCTGTAAGTCTCAAACTGTACTGTACTTTAACCTCATGTTACGCTGGTAACTGCTTCGCACAAACATTATTATAATGTAATTATATACAGATGAATATTTTAACATGCATTTGCTGTTGATTTTTTTGTATCTACTTGGTGATTATTGGTATGTTGTGTAAATTGTTTGGTCGGTCTGCATTGTGATATGTTAGCTCTATCTTATATGTAGGCTATCCTATGTAAACATGTGTTAAAAGTAGTGTGGGGTTGTATATAATAAGGGCTATGACACAAACAAGATTGAGGGGGGTAAATGCTGATAATATTTTAACATTGTTCATTCATTCAAATTTTGTAGATTTGATATGTACATACTGGAGTGCATTAAACTGTTTTATACAGAAACAAACAATGATTTATGTGCTCTTATTTATATCAGTGATGACTCAGGTCACATATACACGCATACACACATACCATTTTTGACAATATTCTCAGGAAATGAATTACTCCCAATTGTGCAAAGAAAAGTGTTCAACCAAGCAGGTTTGCAGACTTCAAACCAGATTCGCCTCAATTTGTTATCGAAGTGTTTAAAGAGAGCTCAGGGCCCCAGATTGGAAAGCAGGGATAAGAGCCGTTGTGAAAAAAGCAGACGTCAAAGTGATCAATGAAAGGTGCGAGCACACAAGAATACGCCATAATTCATTCAGAGAAGAGACTCCTTAAGCTGTCACTGAATGTCTTCTCTGTCTAGCCGGTACAACCATATGGAGAGCAGCGTTTTGAAGGCACAATGAAAAATTGATTAGGCAGCCAAGGAAAGCCGCCTCAGTTGTGTTTCCCCTTCATAAATCTCCAATTTCAGAAGTAATCATTCACCTTGGTGAGAAAGAGAAGGCAAATAAAGCTGCAGGGGAAGGGAAATCTGAGTGAATGCATTTGGAGTCTGTTTCTTTTATGTTGCTTTCTGAGAGCAGCTCTTACAATTCGGCCAAGTTTTCATTTCACGTCTTTTAAGTTACAAGCAAGAAGAAGGACATAGTTAAACAGTTTGCACAACATTGATTCTAATGCTTTTGCGTGTAAATTATCTCAATTGATACACATTAGGATCACAGATCCTCATATAAGATTGACTTCCTGGGACCTTCATCCTAAATGTTTTGGTTTTTAGTTATAATTAGTCAAATAAAAGTTGAGGTTATAACCATGGAGGATGTAAAAGTATCAGAATAGTGGCTTTCATGAAATTCACTCAAATTGGGCTGATTATAGTTCTATAGTGAAATAAATGATAAACTATTCTCTATTTTTCTGCGTCTTGAATGGCTGGTAGAAACCACTTGTCTTAAAAAGTAGTGAATGCTACGACATAAGGATTTCCCTTTGGAATGGAGGAAATCATGAAAAAACAACTAAATGATCAAAAAGATTCATGACAGGAGTATCTACATCCGTCTACATCCGTCTTTCCGTATGTTATTTTGCACCAAATACACATGCCTATGAAAAATCCTGGATTTAATGCTAACATTCATCCATAAAATCAAGGCTAAACCATGCAGAGACCATGTAAAGGGCTAGACCCAGTTTCCATATCTGCACCGCTGTCTCCATCAAGGGGACGCTTACTGAATTACAAGTTGCAATTGTATGTTATGCACGTCAGTAGAATTTGTTTTCATGAATAATACTATATATACAGTAATTCATATGTGAACATCATTTAATTTAGAACATCTACCCCCAATAAGCAACACTTGAGGTGTCTGTTCGTGCTACTTTTTCTGGCCCACTGCAGACTCAGATGTTGTCGCCTTCGTTTTTTTTATATAGGTAATACCTTTATATGACAATGTATTATTTTAAGTTAAGCTTTTATTGTCAAGAAAATAGTCAAAACTTTACCAGCTACAACATCACTCTGTGATGTTTGGCCTAACTTCTATGAGATATGAATCTTTGTTTAATTTTATTTTGAATGAATGAGTGGGGGTTTGGTTTGAATACACTACATGATTCAGGGGCGTGTCTTGACATGACGTCTATTTTCTGCACTACAACTTCCTCCATCAAAGCGCCATTTTCGGCGTTGTTACGGGACTACAGCATGCTGTTGTCAAAAAGATAATAAGACTACTATTTCAAGTTGTAAGAAATCGTTTTCATTATCCATTGGCAATGGGGCGAAAAAAGAAGAAGCAGATGAAGCCATGGTGCTGGTATCCTTTTGACCGGATGACAACAAAGCAACGTAGAAATGCCAGAGGCTAATCGTTAGCTTGACAAAAGGAAGGCCTAAGCTAGCCTCTCTTTAGGTTTTATCGGCTTGTATGCTAACATTAGCCTAACCATTTGGCTTTGGAGTCTAGCCATTCGTTTTGAAGATTGCTTTTTCCCAGTGTATATTTAATATCGGTCAAATATTCGGCTCCGACTACACGTAACTGATAAAAGTTTACGTTCAATTCACTGGATTGCTAAGAAGAAAGTATTGCTAGCTACCTTCGGAACGGAGGTAGCTGGCTAACATGTTAGCCATGCATTGATGATTCCGGGTAGCATTAACGTTGAACGGTATGATTCATGGTTCAGGGCGGTTAAGTGTGAAACCTTATTTTTACCGAGATGTTTTGTAACCTAACGGCTTGCTATGCCCTTCATTGATCATGAATGGGGATTAGGACTCACGCTACACCTCGGAGCTTTTATTCAGGCAGCATTAGGGTTTGTTTTGAATGCTTGCGTGTGATTCTCTGACTTTGTGAACTTAGTAGCTTAGTATTTGTTCATGTTTTCTCTTTCTATACATTCCTTAACTTCTTTCTCAAGGTACTGTAATCGAGACTTTGATGATGAAAAGATCCTCATTCAGCATCAGAAGGCAAAGCATTTTAAATGCCATATTTGTCACAAGAAGTTGTACACAGGCCCAGGATTGGCTATTCATTGCATGCAGGTGGGTAGCTTTTTTGTCTTTTTGTCCTGGTTTAGTTCATAGCTCTAACTTATCATACACTGGACAATAGGTGTTCTCTTTAGATATGAATATGCACTGGCTCACTTTGCATGCGTTTCAGGTACACAAAGAGACGATTGACAGTGTTCCAAATGCAATTCCTGGAAGAGTTGACATTGAGCTGGAGATCTACGGTATGGAGGGGATTCCAGAGAAAGACATGCAGGAAAGAAGACGAACATTAGAACAGAAATCACAAGGTTTGTAAACCTATAAGCTCTTTCTTGCCAATTTAGAATAAAAGCCTAGATTTCCAAAATGTGTAATAATGTTGTGTATTTGGAATCATTTAAGATTAATCGTAAATCTTTGAATATGTTTGTTTATTGTGTGATCTATTACTACTTCATTTTTATAATGCTGTGGGTTGATGTAATTTGATCATTCTTAAAGCTTCACCACAACCTTTTCTTTTCTTTAGAGAGTCAAAAGAAGAAGTCAAATAATCAGGACGACTCTGATGAGGATGAGGATGATGATGATGAAGCAGGACCATCAGTTCCGCAGCCGGCTGTTGTCCAGCCCCAGCAAAGCTACGCTGCTCCAATGGCCCAGCTTGGGATGCCTCCTGTGGCTGGCGTACCTGGGATGCACCCTGGAGCATATCAAGGCAAGGAACCTTAGTGAAAAGCAGAAGTTCGGAATAATCACTAAAAACTTTTTTTAAAACACCAAACATTTGGTCAGTTTGATCTAAACCAACCACAACGACAAGAATGGTTGAACATGTTCCTGATTATGTCGTCAATGTATCACTTGGTTTTTGTGCTAGCTTATATTTAATTAATAGCAATGCCAAATGTTAGGCTCTCCCTGTAATTCCTACATGTTGTCTTCATCAAATCACTGCATTTAATAAGCTGTTTATGGTGTTGCTATTTTAGTCCTGGTTTCTGTGTTTGCAATGTATAGTTTATACCGAAACGAGGACACACTGTTATTGTTGTGACGCACCTACAGTGTGAGAACGTTTAGACCTGGAATTGAACAGAAATGAAGATGAATCAGCGGGGATAGAGATTACTGCACATGTATTCTTGTGTTCGGTTTCCTAGACATGTAGCTGCCTGTTTTCAGTGATGTAGTGTTGAGTTTCTAGTAAACAGAACATGTCCCCTCTCATTGTTAAAGGCATGCCTCCCATGATGCCAGGCGTTCCTCCCATGATGCACGGCATGCCCCATGCCATGCATGGAATGCCACCTGGGTAAGAGATGTCTCATTGACTGTGTCTAATGTTATTTCATGTCCAATGCTTCTTTAGTTTACTCTTAATGATATGCCACTATTTAGTTTGTGGGTAATTATTGTATCACATTCTATTGTAATTATAGTAACACCAAACAATCCTTCTGTCTTTTGCAGCATGATGCAAATGGGTGGAATGATGCCTCCCATGATGCCAGGGATGCCTGGTATGCCACACGGTGAGTTGCGGTTGTATTCTCCACTGGGGTTACACAAGAAATGTATTATCTATTCCGAAAATAAATTAAGAGTTTGTCATATAATAGTATATAGTAACCCTATTAAATCACATTTTTAATCCCTATCATAGCACAAACTGTTTGTTGCTTCCATGTTTAGATGGTTAGGCAAATGTAGCTGATATGTTAACTGTTTATTTGTTAGGTGAATGTTTTCATATTGACATAATGGACCAGTCTTTAGAGACAGACATTGGCTTTTTAAATGATTGTTCCTTCTTTGTGTACCTTGTTTATTTAGCCTTTTGTGGTTCCAATGCAATGCTGGCAGAAGGGTTGATTGAGCTGTTTGGTTGATGTTTAGGAATGCCCCATCACATGGCTCCCAGGCCAGGGATGCCCCACATGGCCCAGGCAGTCGGACTGATGGCCAGCCGACCGGCGGTCCCAGGGGTCCAGCCCGCCGTCTCCAAACCTCTTTTCCCCAGTGCAGCGCAGGTGGGCAACACACACACACTTTTCTGTGTGTTTACAGGTGTCTCTAAAGTCTCTAAATGAAAGGCTTTATTCTGTTTCTTAAGAACACGATACTTAGCGACGTTATTTCATACTTCTTGTTTCTGGATTCCTGGTTCCTCTTTTATGTAGCCAGCTGTTCTTCTTTTCTTTTCCGATCTTTCTTTCATTATTATGTAGCATATTTAGTTCTTATAATTACATTTTGCATAGTATGTGGACATGTTACATGCCAATACTGTGATCTTTCCACCATGCTGCAGATGGGCGCTATGTGCAGCACAGCAGCTGTTTCTTCTCCAGCTGCAGACCTTCAGTCTGCCTCCTCCCAGCCTCCCTTTCCTAACACGCCTCAAGTACGCTCACAGACAGGCCTCTGAAGCTGTGGCAGCTGCATGTTGCTAATGGCATTACTGTCTGTGTTAAACTAGGCTGATAACTGAACAGTGTTTGCCTTGTGCATCAACATTGGCTATGACGTTGGTGTCAGAGGATAGTTGTCCCTGACAACAACTGACATATTTTTTAGTTTGTGAGCGTCATTTACTGCATGTGCTTAAATTAATGCAGAATGAGGCATAACAATCGATTTACATTTATACCATCATACATCATTCACAACTCATACCCTCTGAAGCATGAATTCTGCCATACTAACTCATTATGCTTTGACTGTGTGTGCTGCAGAGGTGCATAACACACTGCCAGTTTTTCAATCTGAACTCTAAGTCTATCGATTTATCAGAATTTGTTCATCATCCAATGATTGTTGAAAGTAAATGATGTAAATGTATAAAGAAAAAACGTAAATGATTATTTGGACGATATTATATATTTAAAGTTAAATCCAAATACTACTTCGGTAGAATAACTAAATGTAACTTTGATTGTTTAAAAAGGCAAACCTACTGAAATTGATTGTTGGGCTTTGAATCTCTAGCACTCTGTTATGTAATGATTAGGACAAAGTTATAGTGCATTTATTAAGGACTTTTGACTGCATTGTGTCTTTGTACAGGCCCAGCAGAGCACTTCAGGAGTTCCAGCTTCAAACCCTCACGGTGCCGTCTCCTCCGACCCTCCCAAAGCAACATTCCCTGCCTACACCCAGCCCTCTGTCTCCTCTTCCACTTCTTCTAATCCCTCTAGCGGCGCTGTGGCCAAACCCCCGGCCACAGTGGCCACCAAGCCCGCCACCCTCACCACCACGAGTGCAACTAGTAAGTTGATCCATCCTGATGAGGATATCTCACTGGTAAGTCGCTTGAGCTTTCTATTTTGCCCTTTCCACAGTAAGTAATGACTGATATATATAATATAGTACGTATACTGATTAATGGGTTGACTCAATATTTAACCATCAATCTGGTTGTGAATGTCAATAACATAACAAACATGAAGTAAGATACTAAGGGGATATCTGCCAGGCATTCATTCTTACTTTTACTTAGTAGTTACTCTTACGTGGATATGTGGAAAGATGATTCTGAACTTAAATATCCTTGAGATCAGGGCACGCCAACATTGGTTACCTATTCCTCATCATTTTTGTGAGTGTTTAACTTTGCACTGTGAGGGGCCAAATTGTGTTTCTTTAGTCTGAGTGTTTGCCCTGTGTGTTGTCCCCGCCAACAGGAAGAGATGAAGGCACAGTTGCCTCGTTACCAGCGTCTCACGGCCCGGCAGGGTCAGGCCCATGTGGCTGCCCCCCCGGTGGTGTCTGTGGGCGGGATAATGCCCCCACAGCAAGGAATGCCACCACAGCAGCCCGGCATGAGGCATCCCATGCATGGTAAGGGAATGGTTGTTAGTGTGTGAAATACCCATCATATTACCGACATTTTGAGTCAGTCATTTTGCATACATGTTAGGGCTGCACGGTATTGAAAAAAACTGACATCGTGGTTTTTTCCCCCCCTGCGGTATATATTGCGGTTTTTTTAACCTGTTAAACCCCAAAGTCCCGGCTGGTACTTTACTTTTTTTTTTTACGACAGTGTCTCAGGGGATCGTAATATTTAAGAACCTATTAATGTGTTATACCAGATTAACGGAAATAATCTCAGCTAACTGACGATACAAACCATTTTTACCAAAACAAAACACAAGTCTCATAAGAAGCATCTAAATGACCCCTGAGCGAAAAATGCTAACGCACTTTGGCACAGAACTCAAGATAAAAGTACCCTTATTACTTATCGTAGCTGCACTTACAAGATATCCGATTAAAGCTGAGGTTCCACAGATTATTTAGGTATATAGTATCATCACTGAGTGATCTGAACTCGGACAGGGGAAGCAAACGCAGACATCACGACACGTACCTTTACGTAGCTTCGAGGGGAGATGTCTCACCGTAGCTGTCAATCTGATCAAAAGACGTGTTCAATGGCATTAAAACGAGAAAGAAAAAACGCGGCTGAATCGGTTAATCCATAGGTTTTTAACGTCTCTGTATAAAAAAAATGATTTAATTATAATCCATAATTCCATTTTTATGTAAATATCGCAGAGCAAAAGTTAGCTGCTAATGGTAGCCACCAGAGTGGCTGCTGCTTCCGGTCTTGGCGATGCGGAAGTCTCTCACACACACATTACCAAATAAGGACTGTGTGATTTCCCCTCGATTCCATTGGCTCTGACGGTCAGAAAGAGATGTCACATGTCAAAATCCAGCAAGGTGGGCCAGAGATATGGAAAATCCACCCAAATGGCCCCAAAAGAGTGTTTTTTTGGTGCTAAATCTGTCTAAAAAGGTCAAATATCAGGGGAAGTTCTACACACACCAACACATGAACAAATAAGGAGTGAGAGTGACGCGTAGCCAAAACCGGAAGCTGCATACCACCAAGGTGGCTACCATTAGCAGCTAACTTTTGTGATCCGATTTTTACATACAAATGGAATTATGGATTATAAACAATTGCTTCAAAGCCACAGATACATTATCAACCTATGGATCAACCGATTCAGCCGCGTTTTTTTCTTTCTCGTTTTAATGCCATTGAACACGTCTTTTGATCAGATTGACAGCTACGGTGAGACGATCTCCCGTAAAAGCTCCATAAAAGGTATGTGTTGTGATGTCTGTGTTTGGTTCCCCTGTTGCGAGATCGGATCGCTTAGATACTATACTTAAATAATCTGTGGAGTCTCAGCTTTAATCGGATATATTGTATGTGCAGTTTCGATAAGTAATAAGGGTATCTTTATTTTGAATTCTGTGCTAAAGTGCGTTAGCATTTTTTTTTAAAAAATGAATAAAACTGCACGTCCCTGCGGTGTGAATACCGCGCATGCGCATACCGCGGTTATCGCCATGACACGGTATATCGTTCAGCCCTAATACATGTTACAATCAAAACCATTTGTCATGTTGTCAGTTATTGGGGCCCTGGTCTACAGTTACACTGAAGCCTTTTTTTGAATAAATAAATGTTATTAAAGACAATTTAATGCCATTATTTGAAAGTCGAGAGACAGTCAAGAAGTGTTGGGAAAGAGAGACATGTAATCGGTAGATGGTCCAAACTGGGGACTAGCTCAGGTCATTTGTGCCCATGTTCTCTGTGGCCAAATCACGCTGTCTGGTCACCCCAAACTCCCTCTAAAAGTATTTTTTGACACACGAAGAGCTAAAGTTAAAACTGTTCCTTTGCTTGAAATAGAAAAGTTTAGCAACAGGATTAATGTTAATTGGTATGTAATTGACTAAACCTTTGAATGGCTGCAGTGATCATTGTTCTCTCCCTGTGTTTCCCTGCAGGTCAGTATGGCGCCCCTCCTCAGGGCATGCCCAGCTACATGCCTGGGGGGATGCCTCCTTATGGGCAGGGTCCTCCTATGGTGCCCTCTTACCAGGGAGGCCCTCCCATGGGCATGAGGCCGCCCGTCATGTCTCCGGCAGGACGCTACTGAAGCAGCAAAGCAGCCACCACATTAGGTTTGAGGTTCACACCTTTCTCTCATCCTTGTGCTTTTTCAAACCTAGCTGCAAGCAAAGAGCAGTAAGACCAGTGGCGGTGAAGACAAACGTTGTTTGTTAGAACTAATGGACATTTAATGTAACATCTTTATTGGAAACAGCCAAACACCACTCAACTTCCTGAAAGTTATGTCGTTGTCATTTGATTACATGTGAGGATATATTTTCTCCCCCTTAGGTTTCACTCAGGTTTATAGAGGTGAAGTGTTAAAATGATTCATATTTCTTTTGAAGCTGCTGGAGTTACATGAACGTACCAACCCCTTACAAAGGCAAGTTTCTCTTGTAAACATTTGATTTTTTTTTTCTTTCGGTAGCTTGATTGAGGCCCTCACAGCATGCTTAGGTGCTGTTGGACTTGCGTCCCCAACCTTGGTTGGTGAGGGTCTCAGTGATGAAGATGATTCCAACTAAGTAGTGTTATAAATTCATGACTCATCAGTCTCTAGCTTTATCCTTATTTCAGGTTTGTTTTTAATATTTTCTGGTTAAAAGGGTACCTGTATGCATCCTTTGTAATGTTTTATGAATCTGTTGTAATAAAATACATCTTGAAATCCAATGCTGGTTTGTCCTGACGTGCGTGGAGGTGAGTGATGAAGGTTTGTACGGGTGCTCTTCCCTTATGGCTCAGGTTTTCATCAGGTATTTAAAAACCAAGTTTGCCATCATCTATTTTTTGAGGAGTCCTCTTGACCTTGCCTTGATAAGACTTTAAGTATACATTGTTGGTTCAGAAACAGAATAAAGACTTATTGTGCTCAAAGCTCGTGTACTACCAGCCCAAAAGATGTTGGCCAACTTCTGGTTCCAAATACTGCATGTTACCTCATGATAATGATGGAAATAACTTCAGATTAAATAACGGTTCTTGTTCATATAGTGCATTTACACAAAAGTGAAAAGGAAACTAAATGTAAACTCATTCACCTTTTCCTTCAGTTATCAAACATGCATGAGTGCTTTAATGTTTGTCACAGCTCAGTCATGTCCCATAATGCACTACAGAGGGCAAGCAAAACAACAAACCCAGCAGTGGAGCAGCTCTGTGGTAAATCCCAATTTTGTGAAGCTCCGTTTTCAGTTTTCTTTTAGATTATAAGGTAAATGAAGGCACTATATTCTACTGACGGTTGATCCCCGTTTGAATGACTAGGGAATGTCTTACGATGGTTGTCGACACATACTGCTAAATAACAACCTAGTTTGTGTCTAGTTGGGATTTACAGCAGCAATATCCTGAATTGCTTGTGCAACCATTCCTACAAACAAAAGTAGAAAGATTGATGTTATGAAATAATCCAAATGGCTGGAGCATGTAGGAACAGAGGTCACAAGGCCTCACCATCTCTGTTAACGGAGACCTAACTATTTATTTCGAGATGGTTTAGAGAAAAACAGCTGTTAGATTGTTATTTACTGCGGCGCTGTTTTGTATTGCTGGGTGTTTTTTTGTTTTGTCCATCCTTTCTATTCTCAACTCTCATCCCTTGGTGGAGATTGCTGTAAAGAAGACAATCTCCGAGCGAATACATTATTCATGCACACATGTAGCGGCAGGGACACACATTTGAGTCTATAGTGCGCGCATTAATCTAAAGACATGGTGACGAGCAGTTTCTCTAGGTATTATTTAGTTTGGCACTATTTCTCCCTCTGCACATATCACTTACTGCTCTGTATTTGTTTTTGTTGTCTGTAGCCCATCCATATCAGCCTTAAAACGCACTCAGCTGGCATGAAAGGTCAGTTAAACCCAGTAAGTACCTGATGTTTATTATAGTGTGGCTTACCCTCTACAACTGGATGCGAAGCCTTTTATTACCTTATTTATTGGTTAATAGTTTGTTTTTCAAAGTTACTAGATCATTAAAGACTTAATAACAAAAGCATGCCTTGATTAACACGAACTATATTTTATTTATTCAAAGGTACGTAGACTTGGGCATTGAAATGTAAATGAAATTGTAATTTTTCTTTTCTGTCTAGTACGAAATGGATTAATATGGTCAGTTATGTTAAAGGGTCAGCTCACCTTAATGAGAACATAATCTCAAGTCTAAGGCCGTGGTTCCCTGACCCCTTAAAGATGTATTCCATTTAAATTAAGTTGGGTCTTTTTTGTTAGATCCTCAAACTCCACACCTCCAGTTTAAAATGCCGGTTTTCTTTGTATAGAGCTTAAATTCAGGTAATTGTTTCAGACTTCAGAGCCACACAGAACAAAACACAACAACTTGTGGAGGGGCCCTTTTCAATGGAGCAACCTTTACTTGTGACTGCATGACACAGGTGTTGGTCTTATTCAATCAGGAAGTCCCTCTTAGTCTTTTCTGAAACTTTATAAAGCGACTTTTTCTTTCAAATAAAATTCAAGCAGTATGAGGTTGACAACCCATATCAATACCTAGATAAAATCAAAGCGACACTATCAGCGTTACTCAATGCTTATAAGTGAAGACATGGTTTCTGTTTATTTTATTTGGGTGAACTGACTCTTTAAATAGAAACTCAGATGTTGTTGGCAACAACATTTACTTGAGTATTAAATGTAAATATATTAATCATTCAGGTTTCTTAGTGAAATTTGAAATGTATACATTTTTACATGTCTACAAGTCTATCACTGATACTATTTTTGAACTAGTTTTCAAGGACTAAAAGAATAACTGTCAAAGGAGCAGCTTTGCGTCTCTATGAATGTTACCAAAGTCAGATTTCTTGTCTTTTTAAATAAAATGGTTGCATTATTTTTGATGTCACTTGTTTTCTTTTGATTCAAACTTGGGGTGAAATCCACCAATCACACCTTCAGCTGCTCAGTGTGGTGGAACCAGTGCACCACCTAGTGGACTATGGGGGAATAATATTAACCTTTCACATATCCACACTACAACCATCACCACTCCCCATTAGCAATACTGAGAACATCTGTTCCACTAGACTAGACAAAGTCTCTCATTTATTGTTGACAGTATATACTATAATGTTAGACAGTAGCTATAATAAGGAGTATAAAGCCTGATTATAGTACATAATATTTAGAAAACCTACACAGAGAAATGATACTGTAGCACTACTGCAGCCATTTTGATGAAAAATAATTGGTGTTACTTATTAAATGTTAACTTATAAAGTGGCCATTAAGGGAATATAAACTTTTAAATACAGAATATTTACTAGTAAACGATTCTAAGAATATATAAAACGTTTTTTTAATTTTATTATATATAATTACATCCCAATGTGATCCCAATGTAAAGTACATTGCTTAAGCTTTATTTGAATTGAAATGATTATTACCCATTGTACCTATTAGGCAATAAAGCGAGAAATAAATACATGGAAACTTAAGCTTAATGTTGTTTGTTTCTTAGTTTCGAGTGCTGTTTGTACAAACATTTCGAGGATATAGTCATACGTTTCTTTAATAATGGAACGTGGTCACAAGCATCATGGCGCCACACGCTAGAAATAAAGTGCTTGAGTGGTTTGAGGCCTCACAAACATTTTGCCTCAACAGACTTTATGAGTGCATTTATGGGCATCGCCATTCAAGTTTAGCCAATCGATAAAAGTGCACGAAAACATTTGAACCAATACCTCTCAAAATGCAGCACCCTTGAGCATTAGCACTAAGTAAACAGCTTTAAAACAACTGTTGTACATGAGAACCTTGTATATGTGGTTTCCTGCTGGACGAGTAGAAACCTAAACCACAGTGTAAAGAGAGAAATGCAGTCTACCACGTTTTGTACCTGAAGTGAAAAACAAGTCTGGTGTGATGAATAACAAGGTTTATGCTTCTGCCAGTTCTTAGTTTAATTTATCCACTTTTTCATTTCAAAGTCTGCATTTCAATTCTGTCCAGGGCCTTTTTATGGTGAATAATTTACTGCGTCATATTTTCATTCTGTTTCATTACGTTTTAGTGTTTTTCTAGTCTCTAACCTGAAACACAAGTTAAAATGCCTGTAAATCTTTGACATTCAGAAATTAAAAAGGCTCTCGGAACAGTAGAAAATAGAAAAAAAACGACACATCCAGCTGCCTTTGCTTTAATCTAAAAGCTAAATGTAAAAGTTATTTCAAATCTTTTAAATTGTAGTCTTTTCGTCTCGAACATTTGAACACGTTCCCTTTAAAACGTTTTGAAAAGCTAGGTTATCATTTGAGACCATTTCAATAGTCTTACTGCATGTCTATACATTGAAAACACAATTAGTCCTTATTATTTCAGTAATTCCTTCTTTCCAAATTGTGAATATAATTGATATTGAATATGTTTTGAATGCTTAAGTCTTATAATCAAATATTAAAGCTGTACTTGGCTTCAATTCTTTTGTTTTTTGCAGCCAAGCCTTGAGCTCACATTATTGTCAATTGAGTCAGATGGCACGAGCCCTTCAGTCTTCAGGATGTGTGACGGAGGTCTGTCCACTGATGAACATTATCAAGCAGCAGACGCATCCTAACAGGCATTCTGAATCATTTCCTCTACGATATACACTTGGTTGTAATGCTTATTAAATTCCAGAGCCAGGTCTAGAGCAGAAAAGCTTGGATCCTAAGTGACCTGCACACGCTGGCTCTTACAGAGGGCACACACAGAAAAATATACCGAGGGCTGGGCCACTCGCTAGAGGTGAGTTACAGTATATTGCCTCATAAGTTCAGTTATAAGTTAGCAAAAGCAATCAAATGTAGGTAAACTATGCTTGATACTTGAAAATGCCTTTTTTTAAACAGTCTACATCAAAGCACTTTATATGGTTTCATTTATTCTGTAACAAACAGTGTTGCAGCTCATCCCTTAAAACAGGAGCCTCAGATTGCTCATACTAAGGGGAAATAGGAAGGGTGTATTTCAAGCTTGTTATGTAAATAAGTTATTGGGCTTTTTTCTTATCAACTTAAATTTGAAAATGTTTCCAACTTTTAATTGACTGCATTTATTTGAAAAGTTGGCTTATGAATTCTACTGTGTAATATATGTTTTAGATATATATATTTAAGAAGTACAATATAAGACAAGCACAAGTTTCAGGTGTGGGCCATATTCCATTATTCTTTTAGAATTTCCTGAGGGCCGATTCAAAATGGCCCCCGGCCGTAGTTTGGACACCCCTGTGTTAGATCATTCTTAATCTGATCCTTAACTGTCAGTCTTTTGTTTTATTGTTAATTTATTTCCATAGTGCCTCAGAAGGAACTTGCATTGTGTTGGTTAGCGCGTGCTTCCTCTTGTCTTCATCTTGAGGTTTGAAGGTGGAGCTTCATGGAGTTCCTCTTGGTTTCATTTACTGTCAACCACACTTTTAACATCCAGTTCTTAAGTGTTGCATGTGTGCTGTCATGTTTTACATCACTGACTTACCTTAGGATCTTATTTAGTCTTCTGACAGTAATCAAGATGAAGGGGATCCAGTACCTGGCTTTCCTCGGGACTCTTTTCATCACACAGACTGGATTTGGTAAATTGAACATTTGCTACTTTTTCCAGTTTGAAATATACTTGGAGTGTAATATGAGCAGTGGCGAACCGTCAGGGCCTTCAAGGTATTCAGAGAATACCCTGGAACACTCAGATAAAACAAAAATCGATTTAATTTTATAAATCAAATGTATATAAAATGAATAAATGAGAATTGTATCTGTGTTCTGTAATATTACAGTGTTACGTTGATTTGTTTGTCCTTCTCGGACCATGCACTACGCATTTCAGTGGTTTTGTGTTAGAAAATAAATGCAACCAATCAGATTGTGTTCTGGGTCTCTGGGTAGAATATCCTTCAACCAAGGTATTCTACAGGACCAAATAACAGGAACAATGCACAAAATGTAATATAGCAACTATGGAGAAATTGTGACAGATTGATTTACGTTTGTTCGATTCCTGGACTGATGTTTTTTGTGATATCAAGTTAAATTATAATATGAGGTGTTTTTAAAAAATGTATATTGAACCGGCCCAATCGTCAATTGAATGTTTTATATTGTCAGGCATGAATATTAATCTAATATTACCACAACAGTTGATCTTCAAAATGTTTCTTAATAAGCAACTTTTATTTATCACTGACACACTCACAAATGTTCCTTTTTTATTTTAATTAAGTGTGCAGTGACATGGAGTTCCTGGAGAGGAATGAGGGGGGTTCTGTGGTGTTTCCCTGTGAGGTGGAGCAAAGGAACCCTTCCCCTTACGGCGTCTACCTAAAGCGCAGCTGGCTGAATCAAATTGAAGTTCTGTTCCAGTTCACCAAGACTGACTTCACTGTGGAAGAAATGTATGACAAGAAGCGCATCAGTGTCAGTGGAGACCCGAGCACACACTCTCTGAATGTGACCATCTCTCAGCTGAGTGCCAGCGACACGGACCGCTACTACTGTGAGTTTGTGGTGGACAACCCTTCCTCTGAAGACATAATAATACGTGGGAAGACTGAATTCTTCCTCCTTGTTAAAGCTGGTGAGTGATTCAATGTTTTCCATCCCACTACTCTGTATATCACCCACAGGGGGTTAAGCTTTCCAAAATAAGCACGACAAATGTCAAATACAAGTGGTTGACATTCAGAAATTGTGCTTGGTGCTGTTTGTTCAGTGTGCTCCAACTAAGCCCCACTGTCTAATAAGGCATTCATTAAAATAGGTTGAGAACTATTATGATTGTTAATAATGAAGGTTTGGTCAAGGTGCCCTGCGACCAGAAGGATTGTGGTGGAACTGTAAATGTAGGGAGCATCAAAGAGATAACTAAGGATAGGTTTAATGCAGGGGTGTCCAAACTACGGCCCGGGGGCCAAAAGCGGCTCACGTACCATTTTGAATCGGCCCTCACACAGCAAATAAAAAATGAGCTGCTAACAAAACAAATGAAACCCTATGGAGCTGTGATGTGGGCTGTTTTTTTCTTACATTTTCAAGTATCGAGAACAATTTACCTACATTCTTCCAACTTATAACTGCACTTACGAGGCAATATACCTCGCCTCTAGGGAGTGGCCCAGCCCTTGGTATATTTTTCTGTATGTAGCCCTCGTGAAAAAAGTGTGGACACCCCTGGTTTAATGGGAAGGATATTGGCCTACTTCAGTACAACCAAAAGTCACCCTCATTGAGTTTCACTGACTTGTAAAGTTGTAATAATTCTTATAATCCTCATATCAATTATGCCTTTTTAAAACTGGCTACCATTATTAAGTATTTTTGCTAAGACTGTGTTGTTAATAGCTAAATACTCAGGGAAAGTGGAAAAAACTGTCAAAATCCCCATTCTGTAGGCCAATATCTAAACTTTCTCTCTAACCAAATCACACAATTTGAAATAAATCCACTGAGAAATCCTCCTAAAAACCCTTTGGCAGATATGTTGATTATTCAGAGGAAATAGGATTTTAGCATATAAATCTTATTTTAAGTTGTATTCCTTTCCCCTCTGGAGACGCCCCTGGGTCTGTGGACATTGGGTTGGTAGAGACGTGTTCTGGGGGCTCGGCTGTACTCCCCTGCCTCCCCCCCCCATGGGGAGGCCATGGCCGTGGAGGGGGTGAGTCTGAAGCGGCAGAGGGGCCGGGGACCTGTGGAGGTATTGTACAATTCAAAGCACCAACATGGCAGCAGCCCCCCCTCCTCCTCCCTGTTCCCCGTTGAGAGGGTGCAGCTGTCCTCGGCTCCGGGCCCCAGGGGCCTCACCTACAACCTCACCCTGCAGCACCTGCAGCCGGACGACAGCGCCCTGTACAGCTGCCAGCTGCTTCTGCAGGGCGGGCCCCACACCAGCACCCGTCTAGGCAGACAAGTGTTTTTTGTCTCAGTGCAAGGTGGGTCACAGGAGGACTGGATCGCCAGGTTCATACTAACTCCATTTGGCTTTTTCAGGCCTTTGAAAATGAATGTTTCCTTTTCATACTAACCGTTGTTCTGTTGTTCCACTATTTGGTTCCTCCTTCTGGTTTGTGCTCTTGTCTCAATGGTTTCAGTGTGCGATGTCAGTCCAGCTCTGATATCTCAGGATGTCAGCCTTTGACTAACATAACTGCAACTAATGAAATCAATATCAATGGCTATAACTGTATATCACTGTTGTTGCATTATTGTTTGTTACTTTTCAGCTAATGGTTTTGTAGACCATGTTCTGGGACTTAGAAAGTAATTTTGCATATCTCTTCTGTCAGTTTCACAAACACTTACACAAAACAAATTATGCGTGAGGTGGAATCAAACTTCCGTGGGTCACTTCACTGTAACTCTGAACTAACTCACCACCTCTCTTTATTGAGTTTAAATCCAGCTTCTATTTGATATAAGTTGTTATGAAAAGATAACTTCCATGTCAGGTGACACAGTAGCTCTAAGACAATGCAGTTTTGTATGACTACACTGGACAAGTAGGACACCCCTCTTTTTATCCTATGACAAAAACAGCAGTTTATTGTGTTTTAAGGTTTTTACTACACACAAATATTGTGTTTGAAAATGTGCTGAAGGCTCTATTTTAATATTGTACATTTGTTATTATTAATAATATAATTTGTCCTTAAATAGAAGGTGCAGTGAAACCCAATGAAAACAGGTGTGCCCTGTTTGTTGTAGCGTAGTAATAGTGAAAGTTATTAATTTAAAGTCACTGGGTCACAACAAAATGTAAACTGACTTTTATTTCGTATAAAAATAGAAGTGCTAAATTCCAATAAAGAGTTGTGTCCTACTTGTCCGGTGTATTAATACACCCAAACCAACAATGTATTGCTCTGACTAACAAGTGCTGTCTATTTCACTAAAGCCTGATACAGCTTATTCCTCTGGGCCATAGCGCTCAATGATTGTCTAAAAACACAAAGTTAGCTACACTGCTACTCTTGGTAACATGTTCCTTTGTTACAACCAACACATTGGTTTAGTTTTCGTCTTTGAATGCTAAGCAGTTGACCTCCACCTTTTACTAAAGCCCCACAATGACAATCAAACATATATTCAAACTGCAGTCTACCACTAGGAAGGGAGTGAGAAGTTGGGAATACCTTACTCTAATCTAATTTCAGTGGAGAGTATGCGTGTTTGCGTCCAGTTAATGTGTCTCTTTTATCTTCAACATTTCTCTCTCTGCTTCTTCACAGGAGGTCAGTGTGGCTGCTCCCGGTACTCCATTCTGCTGTATGCTTTGTCCTCAGCTGTGGTGGTTCTCCTCTTCCTGCTTCTCCTGGGATTTGTGGTGATTTCTAAAGTGAGTGGCGCTGCTCTAATACGACACTGAGAGGGGGAAATATGAGTGGCAGCACCTGCCTGTAGAGAGCGTGCCAGAGAGTTCCTCTGCAGCTCACCACAAAACCACACAAGTTTCATCACAACTTGTTGCTATCAGTTGTCAGCATGTTTTCCTTCGATGTAATGAGGAAGGCAGTGACAGACTTATTCTACTTTTTAGTTCAGTTTTAAGACCTTTTTATTAGTAAGGAACTCCTGTTATGTAACTGTTACCAGAAAACACATCATAGTTGGAATTTGACTTTGTATGGACTTCCTTTTAAAGATGCTGCCTCTCGACTAAAAAAATGACTAACTCTGATTTGAACAGGAAATCGAGAGTGCGTTCAACCTGTTTTCTCACCTCACTGATTTGTTTTTTTCCACTCTTTTGATGTCTCTCAGAGCAAAGCACGCCGCAGTGTCAGATCACACCCTCAGGCCCCCATCTACGAGGAGATGACCGGCAGTCGGAAACAGGCACCCCGAAATCTGGAGGAAATGGAGCCTTCTGAGTACACAAACTGCTCTGTGAAGAAATCCTGTCCTCAAAACCATTACGAAAGCCCGAGAGGGACCCTCTGCCCCAGGACTGAGTCTGAATAATGAAATATTAGATCCTGTTACCGACATGGTTTACTAAAACATCTCACACTCTGCTACCTGAAACTCACTCCATTCAGTGCTCTTAAGTTTCTCTAACATCATTTACCTGAAAGATTATCCACATGCTCTTTATATTAGTTGCATCTGTTGACTGTTGGTAGTTTAAAGTCTTCTTGTGTTTTGAAGTTTTCTGAAGAACCTTTTTAAATGTCTGTTTTTGGCCTTTTCAGCAAATTAAAGTTGGCTTGTAGAATTGTTACTGCTCATGAATTATTGTGCCTTGTTTGTCTTCAGGGGAAAACAACACGTTGAAAGCATTTCCTTCCTCATATTGACAAACTTGGTTTTTAGATTTGTAAATTTCTTGAGAAATGACAGCATGACAACATTTGATCTGTGGCTCTTTACTGCACCTCATACCCTCTCCCAGCTGTATACTCTCTATGTTTAGCTGTATACAATAAAGTAAAAAAAAAACATAAATACAAAAAAAACTAACAACTGAAACATATTTTAAGAGTAAGAATTCCTGCACAGAACCAGAGACTGATCCCTGGATTTCTTTAGATAAAGCCTTAAGAATATTCAAGACATTCGCAGCATACCGTTTATGATTGAGTGCTGGTTTTTTGTAATCATTATTTATCAGAAAAAAATATGACTTTTTAAATGGTATAATATATTAAATAGTTTTGACATTTTTGACATTCTGTAACTATATTTGTATTCTTTTTATTGCGTAATATTCTATGACTTTTTTTAAAGGTCACTGTATACAGTATCAACATAGCTCTCACTCCTAATAAACATTATATTTTCACTTCTGTCTCTTTACTGCTCTCATTCAGTGTGCATTGAAATGATCAAATGAATCAAACATGAAATCAGAAACCATAAAAAAAAAGTGACAAAACACGGAGTAACAGCAAGAAAATGTGTATTTATTAATATAGTCCGAAAGAAGCTCCATAATTCATAGAAACATTATTTTCCGGTGCATGTCCTTAACAATCACATTCTATGAGGAGAAAAAAGAACAACATTAAAAGCCACAACTTTGTATTTCAGTTACAGACATTTTTCCTTAATGTTTTTTTTCAAAGTAAAGAGAAAGGCAAAGGCAAAGTACCCCCATTCCATCCCCCACCCTCGTCCCCTTTAAAAAACTGACAGCCTTAAAAGTCATGGGCTTTTTTTCCCAGTACAACCCACAGTGCTTTAGCCGAAGGATAAGCGCTCATTGGTTAAGGATTACACAGCATGGCAACACAATGTAACATTTTGCTAAAACATTAGATGACGATGATGAAAAAGGAGGAAGGGGGAAGTGAAGGAAATGTGAGCAAGAGACAAAACAAGAACAACCCTACATCAAACCCTGAACCCCAGACTGAGTCGACAAACGCCCGCAGTACAGCAGCTGGGTTTGGACTCTTCCCTCCCACTTGTGCATAGATCATGATCCTTTAAAAACCAGCTTTCCTCCTCCACTTCAAATCTGCCTCTGAAAACCTTCCGTTACATGTTAAGAAAACCTCTTAACTATTGAACTACCTGTCACATGTTAGCAGACAGGAGAGATGATTAAAAACAAACACATACACTTCTTGCACAATGCTCCTGAACTACAGGATGGAAACGTTAAGTCAAAACATACAAATGCATTTTTATGTCACTGCCTTTTTGACAATCAAACCATTGATCAGGTTAAATGTAAAGCAATTCTACTTAGATTTCACATGTAAAGCACTCCACTTTTTTCAAAGTTGATTCTCAGTCTTATTTGGTAAATATATAACTTGCTACGAACATTTGTGTTGTTGCTTTCGAGAAAACAATGGTACTCTATGTTCTGTTTAAACTCATGACCTTCAGTGCCTGCTTGGAGTTTAATTGTTTTCAGTTGGGTTTTTTTCACACGAAGATTAAACCTAGAAATGAAGGAGTTGGTATCTGGAACCCTGGCCTTCCTGAGACATAATCCACATCTTTTATGAGTGTGCAAGATCGTGAGCAAACTGCGTTGCTTACAGGAAACATAACAACTTACAGAATACAGACAGATAGTCTGTCGACGCCGAAAGAGAACTTAAAAATTGAAATATGACAACACTGATCAATCCCAGAGTTCTTAAAGTAGCATAAATCTTCATTTTGCAAAAATGTCATGATTTCTTTTTTTACAACATTCCTGTTATAAATTTGTATTTCCTTGAACTTCAGACAAATGAAATGCTTGTAAACGACAGGTGGCTTTTGCAACAAAAAACACAACCCCCCCCCCCCCAAAACAAGATAGGCACCTCTGAAATGAGTCTTGTAACAAACTCACCTCCCACACTTTATCCCTTTCCATTTCTCCATGAAGTTAACATAGGGATTACAAGTCCTTCTACAACTATCTATGGCAACAGTTCTTTGTTTTTTTACCCCCTTTTTTGTTTTTCTAGGTTTTTTTTGTCTTTGTATTTTAAGATTTTTTTCATTTTTTATATAATTGGAACATAATGGTGCAATACTCAATGATAATCCTTGTATTGGATTACTCCACAATAAAAGCCACTATAAGGTAGATACACTTTTTTACAGATAAAATGAAACAAAATCCATTAAGTCCTTGAGTAAACATGTACACATGAATTGTCACCATCTCCCCTCCGTACTTAGACTCGTTTATCTACGATTAGCTGAGTGAGGGGTAGAAGACACTCAGTGCAACGTTAGAAGATAATAACATGTCTATCAAAACAGTTTTTGACAGGACAACAAAAAAAAGAAAAAAACAGACACAAAATATAACATACTGAGTGGAACACAACAACAGGCCATTTGCCTGGTACACAGTTTCTTGCGCACACATTCATACAAACATCTGACTTTCAAGCACACATCTAAGATGACTTTGCATTTTTACCTCTAAGATTTTGTATTTGTAACTCAATGCAATACATTTTTAATATTCTCTAAGAGTCCCCCAAGTGTACCTGTCAGATGGAGAGAACTAGAAGAGAATGACTGACTTCACATTACATTATTGGCGCTCCATGATTCAAGTATTTGTGTTCAATATTTTGTCGTGTTTTGATATGTTTGAGATTTTTTTTAGCGACTGGTTGGGTTGGGCTTTTAGACAGGCTAATTGACAAACAAAAACACATATTTACAGTACAAGCACTTCAAAGTACTGTAATATGTCATCAAAGCCAGAACGTGCATATCCAACTCTGTGAGAAAGGCGTAGCTTTCAATCAAGTATCAGTTTACACCCGACCCAAATTCTTTCCTTCGTTTCGCTTATTTGCGGGGAAAATACATATTGCTCATTTTTCAGTTGTATTTAACCAAGACCTTTCAAACGAAAATGAAACGTTTCAGAGGTTACGATCCAAGAAGTCTGAAGAGGTGATACCACACACTGAACTCACAGATATATATGTATACTTACTGTAGTGTATACATATATACTGTCATCTAGAACAGAGCTATAGAGAGGAGAACCTCTCGATGCTGGTGCAGCATGGGAAACCCCCCTCACTGTCAGGGTTCTCCAGTTAGTACAGGATGCTGGGAGGTCCTCGGCTATTGGGTCTGTCTGAGCTTGGATCAAGGCAGTTACAGAAACAGGCAATAGTGATTTTTGCTTGTGTGCTGCAGGACCGCAAGTCCTGAAAGGTAGCCTTTTCCCGTTTTCTTGTTAATTTTTTTTGTTTTTTAAACTTTTTTTTAGAATGTTTTTTAAGACTTTGTACCTCTTGAAATGTGCCCCTCCCCTCCTGCTGATGCAGAGCGAGGAGAGCGAGGCTGATACAGTGGGCCCAAGCCATCTGGGTCTGTGGAAATGTACAGTTCAGTGGGCCTGCTTTGAGCAGGACACAAACATAAAAACGAGATAAATACAGCATCCACAAAAAGGCACCCCGGCCACCACTCTACTCCGTTAGATGGTGGACGTAGAGGCTGATGAGCGGAGACGTTTCAGCTAGAAGTGCAGAGATTTAACATATTATAGATCTTTTTTTTCACTTAGATTTTTTAGCATTTTTAAGATTTTTATGTCAAACTTCATAAAAATGACGTTAAAATGCAATTTCATTTTTGGTTTTAAAAAAATATGTACCCGGGATTACCCATCATCAACTGTGCACTGTAGCAAACTGGAACCCCCAACTGAGTAAAGATTTTCTCCTTAGCATGAGGCATTCCCAACAAAAACACACAAAAAAAAAGAATCTCAGTCATTTAAGGGTGTGATGCTGCTGCCCATTGGTTTGATCCCTCCTGTCCCCCGCTTCACCCTCTGCAAAGGTTATCAAAGTTCCTCCCAACAGGGAACAGAAGTGCTCTCTATAAAGATACAGTATGACACAGCAAATTTATATTGGCACATTACGTTGGCAACTTTTACACGCAATAATTGGCCCCGAAACAGTAACAATAGGCCACCTTTTGAGGAAAAGGATTCAATACAAGCCTTTTCCCTTCCAATTAGGATTACGTTCGAGGCATGAGGTCCGTAAAAATTGTTGCACAGATGGCCTTTTAATTTTAGACTTTGCTCTCACAGTAGAAAGGACATATATATATATATATATATACGGAGAGCTGCATCTCATACTTGGTATCATCTACTCCTCTACCCTGAGATCAAGCTGGACAGAAGTGTCTTCAGCGCAGAGAGAAAGACCGACTTCGAGTAAGTGTTCGGACTTTAATATATGACAGTGTTCTGGTGGCTGATCCTGACTTTAAAGAAACGGCGGCCATTTTTAAGTGCTGACAGAAGCGCACAGAGGGTGCAAGGGTTGGGTGTGCCAAGCTCTGGGAGGAGTGCTCATTCCCGAGTCAGGTTTGGCGTGCTGTAAAGGGCCCCAGCCTCTAGTCTTTTGCATAGAAACAGATAGGAGGGCCTGGTAGGGGGGGGGCTACTGGGTCTGGTCAAGGAGGAGGTCATAGCGTAGCAGCTAGGCAAAGGGCAAGGGGGGGACAGCCTGCGGGCAGGCGGAGCAGCTTGGAGCAACAAATACCCACACCCGTCTGAGACACCCTATTTTTACACATCTCAAGATACTACCTGGAAGTACTACAGAATACTGTCAAACAAAAGCATGATCAGTTAAAAACAAATAGACAATCAATAACGCTCTGTAGTATTGATCCTTGGTTTGCATTCAATACACAGGATGAACATACAGAGGCACCTCTGACCAAAGTGTTTCTGCATATGAACAGTGAAGGGCTAGTTCAGCAGCCGGTATATTGTAGACCACTGCATGTAGACACCAATAACAATATAACACATTGAAAAAAATAAAGTCAAAATGATCTTTTTCCCAAGACATAAAAAGTACACTGGCAAAAACTCCAGAAATATGACTATTACATCTTCCAGCTAAAGTGATCTTTGTGTCAAAGGACTGAGAGATGGGGGAGAGGGCGAGACGCCAGCGGGGTCGGGTGGTGGCGGCCCCCCCCTTTGGAGATGTTATGTGGGGCGGAGAGCCGTGATTGGCCGGTTTTGGAGGGGCCGCTTTCTTTGCCAGACTGAGGGAGGGTCAAGTGGAGCCCAGGAGGAAGTGCTGCGCTGTGGGGCTGCCACTTGACACCCAGAGGACCACAGCAGAGAGGCACTCAGTGGACACTCTCTCCCCTCCCCCCCCCCGACTCCCTTCCGACTCACCCACCGACTGACTGGCCAGCGGGCGTCAGAGACAGCTGACATTGTCTAGTGCCTCCAAGCAGAACAAGGCTTAACATTTGGAGTAACAGTGATATTCACTTCGATATTGTTCAAAGAAGGAACAAATAAATCAGACTGCATTTTTTTCCCCAAAGTCCAACGGTACAATTCAGTTCCGTTTCCCTTCGTCCTGCTACCATAGGAACAACGCCAGACACATTTCCAAGGAATAGATATAGTACATAAAAGAGCAGTATTTTTAGTTTTCAATGTTTATGCTGCTCCTTTTTAGATTTATTGGATTGCAGTTGAAGCGATTTGCTCTTCATAAGTGCTATGATAAAACCCTTTGAATTTATAAAAGTCTTAGTTTCATTTGTTTGTACAGTACCAAACGCAAGGAACACTCGTAGGTCTACTGCATTAGGAGAAACCCCTCTTATTTGGTATTGTGCCAGATACCCAAACCGTCCAATCCCACTGTGGATTCAGTCTCTGTTGGGTGTGGCTGTGGCACGCAGAGAGGAAGTGTGCATTATTGTGTACCCAGTGTCATTCTTGTGTACAGTTTGCTGCATGCACAGTTCAAAAGCTGTTGCTTCCTCTTTGCAGAGTTTTCCAGGGGGACTGGCGGCCTGGGGGGAATCCAAGTTTTGAAAAAAGGGGGTAAGGTTTGTGAAGTTCCAAAGTCTTTTTGCTGCAATCGGCAACAATCGAAAAAAGCTAAACCAGCTCCGGTGGACGTAGAGTATGGACGGAAGAAAGGTCTATGGTGTATATTGCACAATGTAACTGTCACATGAAGGTAAATTGTGTCCTTTTTTTTCCTCCAAAAACTGGCTGACCATACAGACCGCTGGGCTTCATAACAAATCGGACAATAGAAAATTCAACACAGCACCGGTAAGCGCCCGGGTTGAAGGTGACCAGAAGGATCTGGGCTTGCAGACGTCAATGATTAGGTGCCACCGGACATAATAGGCATGTACGGAAACAGAGACACGCAGCGAGGTCGACAAATAATCTTCTGTCAGCTTATATGTTGTAATAGATATAAAATAATGCGCTTGGGTCTAGGCCTACAAATAAAGAGGACATTTAACAGCTGTGTCTATCCCTTTGAGAATACAAATCAAATAGTTAAGCTGATGATTGGTAGGGCCAGTCACGTGGCCAGGCCTTCTCTCTGCCCAGTGACAGAGTCGGTCACCAGTCATGTCCTGTACCACCTGCTGGCTCAGAGGTGAAACTGTGCAAGATTTCAGCTATTTCTTCAGTTACAAAATAAACTAAAAAAGGCGGCTTGGGAAGGACCTAGGCCAGAGAGCACTTAAGGCTAATATTAGTGCTGAGAAACAAACGTTAACATAACTAGTAAAGGTCTTTGAACCACATCATTGGCCATGGACATGCTGGGAATGGTTGTTTTAAGTTCTTATTTTGGGATGATTCTTCTTCTTTTTTTGGAGGGAAAAGGAAAGTCTCAGATGGCAGCTTTGATTGCTTCTCATAAAAAACTTCACACAGAATGTCATGTATACTTATGGAAAAACTAAAAACACTTAAAAGGTTTCTTTGTGTTGTGTCTCATTTCAGTTAGTTTTACATGATCAAAAATACCAAAGGGAAAAAATGTTTGCTTCTTTTCCCCAAAGGAGGTAAAACCGAACCAAAAAAAAAGGGACAAAAGCGAAGCAGAAGGACTGGAGTCAGCAGTCTGTGTGGTAGGGACTCCCGCCTTCTGATTCACAATTCACAGTTCAAATTGATACTGATTATCGCCACATGATTTGCTTGGGTTTTGCTCCTGTTTGTATAGACTTTTTTTATTTTTTATCACCCACCCACCCACCACCAATGCCTTACGTGACATGGTGGTGGTGGTGGTGGTAGGTTGGTTGTTTAGTGTATTGTAGCATCCTCCTACATGGACTCCCCACTCAGCAGGTCTCCAGGCAGCAGGGTGTTGATGGAAGTGGGGCTCCCGATCCCCCTATGGTCCTCTCCGCTCGGGGGTCCCCACAGGCTGGAGTACTGGGGCACGTTGCCCCACAGCAAGTCGCCTCCGCTGGGCTTGCCTCCGCTGCTCCACTGGCTCATGGAGTGGGACTGTCCGCCTCCGCCCATCCTGTTCTGATTGGCTCCAGGGTTGGCCTGCCAGCTGGTGGTGTTAGCCCCCAGCGACTGGCCTTGTGCAAAGAAGCGGTTCACCTCCTCCTCCCCGGCAAACTCCGCCAGGATGGTGGTGTTCCCAAGCACACACCTTACAGAGGATAAAAGAGGACATGTTAATGCTTTTGTATTTGAAATTGTTATTTTTACATTTCTATTCAAACAGAGATAAAGGGACTCATAGTTTTCAAATAGGACAGGACATAACTGACATTCTTTTTAAAGCGAATGGTACTGTTTTTTAAAGCGCGCTGCCAAGCTTATGTGGTTTTTAGACCTTGCTAAAACCACATTTCATGCTGCTGATATTTAAAAGTGGGTCACACAGATGGTTTCCATGACAACCATCTGCAGTGGCTGCCACTATTAGCAAAGCTAAATTAAGGACAAACTAAATACACAACCAGTTTGGCTCTGAGATGGGGTTTACACCCATTCAACTTTGACTATAACAAAAAACACCGTAACGTTTCAATACAGCTGACTACAGCATGACTCGCCACCTCCACTCTCATGTGACTGCCTAGTTACAAAAACAACATTGTCTACAGCAAGGGAAATCACCATTAATAAATCAGGAACATAGGGTTTTCCCCAAGTGTTGACCTTTTTCTCTTCAATTAGTTGCTTCACTTGGATATATAAAGGCAGAGGAAGTTGAGAAAAAACCAGTGAATGTCTGGTGTCAGGGATTGGCTGAGGCTTACATGTGCAGAGACTTCTGGGCTTTTGCAGCCTCGTCCTTGGAGCTGTAGCGCACCACAGCGTTCCCCTGGGTCAGGTTGAGGTGGAATGTGATCAGGGGGCCGTGCTGCATGCACAGGGTCCGCAGAGTTGAGCCATCAATCTGAAGCACAAACAAACAAAAGCATTTAAAACAATTGCAAACCGAAAGCACAACATCGTATTTGGCTTAAATCAAGCAATAGCAGCACAGAGCACGTACCTGTGGGGTGAGATTCCTCAGCACCAGCCAGCTGCTGGTTCTGTTGGAGCTGTCCGTACTCCAGGTGGTTGTCTCTGTAACAGAAATGTCCAATATTATGTTAAGTGTTAATAGTAATAAGAACAATTAAGTAGCTGAGCTGCAGAGTTTGTGATGATAAAGTAATGTCATTTTTCCCAAAAGCAATTATTTTGAGTTGGTTTAATATATAGAGCAGGGGTGCCCAACCTTTTTTGAACCGAGAGCTACTTTTAAAGTTGCCAGTCTGCCGAGATCTACCAGTCCAAGCGTCCAGGCGTAGCCATTACTGACAGCCTACTACCAGGTAAATACACACTTCTACTTGTGTAAAACTGAGTAGTGTTGCTACAAAAGTATAAATGAGGCTTTCTAATAAGACAACTCAGATCTGAAGCTACTCAGGAATATGCTGCCAAAGTGCAATAAAAAAGACAAGCAACGTGTAAACAAGCCTCAACCCCAAGTGAGCTTGTAGTCTTAATTAATGTTAGCATGTGTGCTTAGCTGTAAACACAGTCGGATGGGGGACCAAAACGTCCCTGTTTTCCGGGCAAAGTCCCCATTTTCGGAATGTGCGTTAAAAAACATAGAGCAAGGTGAAATAAAATGTTACATGTCAGTAAAAACAGAGTAACAGTGTTGTGCCTGTTTGTAGCGTTAGTGTATTTATTTTTCTAATACTTCTTCTTCTTCTACTTCTTCTTCTTCCTCTACTTCTTCTACCTCTACTTCTTCTTCTACCTCTACTTCTTCTTCTACCTCTACTTCTTCTTCTTCTACCTCTACTTCTTCTTCTTCTACCTCTACTTCTTCTTCTTCTACCTCTACTTCTTCTTCTTCTACCTCTACTTCTTCTTCTTCTACCTCTACTTCTTCTTCTTCTACCTCTACCTCTACTTCCTTTACTTCTTCTTCTACCTCTACTTCTTCTTCTACCTCTACTTCTTCTACCTCTACTTCTTCTACCCATGGATGTATAATAAGAAGCTTATAATTCAATGTACCTTCCCGCAAAATATTGGACAAAAGAAAGTCGGCTAGTAGTGTCAACTAAATCCATAGTATTAGAACAAATGTGATTTAAACGAGGTAAATTACGAATGTATGTTCTCAATCGCCAAGTGTGGGATTGAATATTAAATTAGTTTAGATTAGATTTATTGTCCCCAGGGGGAAATTCATTTCCACAGCTCTGTGAAAACAAGATGAAATCGACAAAAAATAGAACAACTACAGATAGCACCACACATGATGCTTACCTGTTATTATTTAGGGCTGCCTGTATGGATCAGGCTTTTGCCAAAGCGAGCCCTTTTACTATAATAATAATATGTTATTATTATATAAACCGTATTGGTACAATGAGTGACGGATTTTTAATCTGTGTCTGTCCATTTGGTGTAGTATTTGATCCAATATTACATTTGGTTTATATATTAGTCACTTTCTTATGGAATGCCAGGTTTTAGGTCTTGGTTTGAACATTCAATCCTGAAAATAAAAAATCAACCAGATTAATTTGTCTTTAATCCTGACATGACTAGAGTAGATAGTAAATAATAAATACAGTAAATAAATCTGTATAGGAAGACGAGTTAAGGGATAGAGGAGAAAAGGTTATGGTATAATTACAGAGCCTGTCCATTTATAAATTGAGGAAATCAATGTTAGTCTGTTAACGTGACTAACAAAGTGCAGGCATCTAATAATGTACTATCTATTATTAAAGATCAGAGGAAAATAACAGAATGAGAGGGGTCAATCCGGAATACAAATAAAGAAGCAAAGAGATTGTAGAGCAGTGAGAATGAAAAAAACTTGGTGAGTCAATTCATTACATTGCCAGTATTTTTCGTTGTTGTGAAAAAAAAGTCGCCCCCTAGGATTTTTGAACAGCCCCCTCAGTCATTTCAGCCTGGAAAGACTTCATGTGTTTCGCAAGAACGTGACTGACACGATAAGATGCTCTGGTAGCAGCCTTGCTCTTGTTGTTGGGCCTGGTGAAAATGGACTGCTGTGCATTTAGCTGTGCTCTCAGGCCCCTCCCCTTTTGGGAGCGTAGGGCAGAATTAGGAGGGAATTCCGTCTCGTAGCGTTTGTGCACTGTTTTGAAATGCCGCTCCTAAATTACCCTTCTTCGATAAAGCCACGCTCGCATTGCAGATGAGACAGATGGACTTTGAATTGGAATAGATACAAAAATAATCATCCTCCCACTCGGAGTGAAAATTATATATTTTGGGCTTTTTTGCTTCTGCCATAATTGCGGTCTTGTGTGTGTGTCAGACACATGGGGTCACGCCGGCCAATCACAAAGCTTTGATGCGTTCAAGTGCATTATTCTGGCACAGGAAGATTATTTTACAGGACATTAACGATAAAACAGAATATTGTTGTTCTTTTTTTAGACACATATCGTGATCGACTGGTTGGGCACCCCTGGTATATAGAGTAATAGAGTATGGAACAAATACATTGTATTTGTAATATAACTCTAAAAAGGGAGACTGTTTAAACTTTACTTTCTTAGTCTTAGTAATGCTTCTTCAAGGGCATAGAGTTTCTTCTTTTTTTTTTTAAACAGAAGAACATCTGTTATCTATTCCCACACCTGATTCTTGTTTCTACTACTAGTAGTACTAATAAATGTACCGTTTCCTCTTCGGTCTTCAACGTGTTGTGTCAAAAAAGGTGCATGCATGTAGTTTAAATGAGGCTTCTTGCAGAGCCGGTAACCTCAAAATGTCAGTTTAGCAGGGTGTGTTCACCCTGCCTTTATTTAGCGAGCGCTGTCAGTGAAGGGTCGTGCCTGTGAACTTCAGCACTCCTACACATCCTGCAGTCAAGTCTGTGGTGGCAGGGTGTGAACTACATCATTAAGATTCATATCGGTAGCTTTCACTTGGTGAAAATCAAGTTTTTAATTTAAGAGCTATTTTGAAAACTCTCATTATAAATTACATATTTTGGAAGAAAAAGTCTCAGCAGCAACATCACGTTTCCTCATAAGTTAATGGTGATTGTATCAGAATCAGAACTCTTTTATTTGACCCGCAGCGGGGACATTTACGGAATTACAGCAGCAAAGGTACAGTGCAGAATAAAGTAAAAAGAGTAGACTTAAGTATTATAAAAAGGCAGGCACACGTTAAAAATAAACAAGATTTTTACTAGATTTTAAAGAGATCTAGACTAGTGAAAATGAAACATGAGACTCAGAAGTGTCAATAGACTAAGCCAGGGGTGTCAAACTCAATTTCATCGCGGGCTACATTAGCATTATGGTTGCACTCAAAGGGCCGGTGGTAACTATATAAATATACATATATAAATTAGGGCTGTCAGTCGATTAAAATATTTAATCGCGATTAATCGCATGATTGTCCATAGTTAATTGCGATTAATCGCACATTTTGTATCTGTTCTAAATGTACCTTAGAGGAATATTTTTCAAGTTTTTAATACTGTTATCAACATATGAGTGGACAAATATGCTTTATGCAAATGTTTATTATCATTTGAACAATGACAAATATTCTCATGAATATTAAACACAACAACCTATGAATATTACAAATATTCGCCTCAATTCAACCTGGAACCTCTCTCATACAATAATACAATACGTGTGTGTGTGTGTGTGTGTGTGTGTGTGTGTGTGTGTGTGTGTGTGTGTGTGTGTGTGTGTGTGTCGTTGGCGCTATGTGCAACTCAAGGCATATGCTCGAACGGGAGCTGCCTGGACGCTGCAATCATGTTGCGCACTATCCGTGCTGAGTGTGCTGACTTTTCGTACAATGTCCCACTGTCTGGCTTCCTGCATAAAGTCAAGTGCTCGGCGCAGTTGTGGCGAAATGTCGCTCCTCTGTTTTCATTTAAACAGCTCCTTATATCCGTTAGCGCAGCTAGCTAGCACCAGATGCTAACAACAACAATGCACGTAAGGTCTCTCTCTCGCTCGCTCGTGCCACACATACACACACCCTCCCGGTCCTCCCAATAGCCAGTCGGTGCCTGCGATGCGCTCTGAAACTACGGGGCGGCCGAGGAAAAAAAATACATATGCGTTAATCGCGTTAAAATAATTAGTGGCGTTAATTTGTTTTTGCGTTAACGCGTTATTAACGCGTTAACTTGACAGCCCTAATATAAATATACATATATATATAACATAATGTATTATATGACATTATTGCCTCTGAATTGGATTATTATCGGATAGGGTAATAACTTGGTAATTAACTAAGTCTGAAAGCAGAAGTCCAGGGCAAATAATTGCAAGTTTCTTCAGTGCGCATGTCACAAAACGAGATGCATTGTGGGACATGTAGTTTATGGGCAACCTGCTTCTGTAAAGTGGCATGTAACCGTATAATAAACGTATTATATTCTTTGCAAGCTCTTGCGGGCCACATCAAATGAAGTCACGGGCCGGATTTGGCCCCCGGGCCTTGAGTTTGACACCCCTGGACTAAGCAATGTTTTCGATGTATAGAATTCATGTGACCCACCCATCTAAGAAGATGCAACATTTTGGAATGAAGATTTTCTTTAAATATTATGATCTGAAATGCAGTTTAAATTATAGTTTGGTTGAAAGGTTTAGAGCAATTGTTTGTAATAAGGACGGTTTAACGTCAGTTCATCAGGTGCTGCTAATAGGTTTGAATGCATTACAGTTCAGAGCACTAACCAGAGGTGTAGGAGTTGCTCCAGCCTTGGGCCAGGCCCAGGGAGTTGCCTCCCCAGGTGGAGGAGGGCTTGTTGTGGCTGAGACCCGGTGGAGGCCGGGAGGGGGCCGGGTTGCTGCGGGGCCCCTGAGGAACCTTCCACAGCTCGTGGGACAGAGAGGCCTGGCTCTGAGAGATGGGCCCTTGGGACCAGGTGGACTTCATGTCAGACATTTTTCCTTTAAATGGAGAGAGGGTAGAGGGTGAGGAGAGCAGTAACAGAGAGTAACACAGATGTTATATTCCCTGGTCAACTAACTGGCTCTGCTCATGGCAACACTAGCCTAAGTGGTTCTTAATGTTAAATCATGTTTTCCTTTTCATTTTAAAAACTAACAATATGCAGTGCATCTATCTGAAATTGTTCTGCTGTAAAAGTGTAATAACTCATAATTCAAACACATGTTAAAGTTCTGAAAATAGAAACTATGTTTAAAAAAAACCGTCAAGTTTATTTTTCAGTTTCTAGTGTTGCTTTCTGGATTTATGCTGAATCTCTTTCCTTTAACCTCTGTGTAAATGCAAAAAAAAGAATCTTAAAGCACAAACAAGCACAGGGTGTGTCTGGATGTCATGACCGACAAGGCCCAAGGGTGAGGTTTTCTTGTGGGTTGGGGAGGAACAGATGGTTGAAGGTCACGTTTAGGGGAGGGTTCTCTCTTAGTATTGTTAAAGATTCTAAAAGCACTGAATGCACAGGTTTACAGAGTGAATTGGGGTGAAAGAAGGGTCATAAACAGAGGTCAGGAGTTGGGTAAGGTATAGGATAAGTAGGGAGCCTCGGACTGAGTGCAGAATCGGGGCTTCAATTTGGACGGGGAGAGGTTTGGCAGGTCCACACATGGAGGGAAGATACGCTGGATGTGTACCTGAGCTGTCTTCATCAGAGGAAGACAGACTGAAAGAGCTATTGTAGCCACTGAATGGCCAGTCGCTGCTGGGGGGGGGCAGAGAGCCATTCTCCAGTGACGGAGCTGGGGAAGTGGCTATATGGTGGTAGAGGTGACCGTGTTGTAACCAGAGACAGAGAGGGAAAAGAAAAAGAAGAACGTCATGTATGCATCAGCACAAGCACATGATTTTAGCGCCTGTGGTGTAGCCGAGAGCACAAGTCAGCATGTGTAAGTGAAGTTATTATTAATGTTGTCACTTAAGACCGCATGTTTTGGGTTAAGGACTTGTGGTTATCTTAAATTAATACTTGTGGCTTTTGTTTCTGTTCATACCTCCATTCCTGTCCCGCAGTAGGTATCGATTGACGTCGTGGATGTTGGTGTTGATGGTGGGACCGCTGGGGACGCTGCCAGGGGTCATGTTGGGGTCATTCTCAGGGTCGATGTTCTGAAGACCCTTCCATGGCACACCGGGGCAGAACTCTGATGGGGGGAAAAAAAGGTGCTTAAAAGACGGTTGAAAACCACAAATAATAATCTTTCACCATCTCATGACTTCCTCACAGTTTAAGCGATTCACACAAGCCTCACAGCCACTGCTATCTACATACTTCTTCTTAAAGCTATGCAACCAATGCAGGAAATGTCACTTCCTATTTTTTTTCATGCTGTATTCATTTTATATTACATTATGCCACACAACTGTATGAATACAGGTTCAGCTGAGAATAGATGTAATTAGAAAACATATGGATTTATGGGTATTTTTAACATCTTTATTTGCATCTTTTCCTCACCTGGGGGCCAGTTAATGTTGGTCCCATTGGAGATCTTTTCATTCTGGATCTTGCCAGGGCCCCAGCTATCTTGGGGGCTGGTGGGGGACTCAGAGCTGGACATTAGATTGTAGGGGCTGTATGAGTCCTCCATATGGGGGGGCTTCCCAGGGGGGCCGAGGGAAGAGGCAGCAGATATGGCACCTAGTTTATGCAAAGACAAATAAAACAGATTAAACTTAAACTAGTTTTACTTTGAAATGAGGACAAACTATAGGAACATACTCTTTTGAACTCATTCTTGTTCATCATAACATCAGCTGTAAGAGTCCACCATCCATAATATAAATTCACAAGAACGCTTTTTAAGAATAACATGCAGTCATTTTATTTAAATGATGCTCTGAGTGTTTTTTAAGGACATCAATTCATCTTTCCATAGGACATGGAAATCAAACATTGATGACACTTACAGATAAGTGTATGAAGCTGATATCATGTTTTTTCGTGTGGGAAGAAAATGCCCAGAGCAAAGATTGATTACATCTCAAGTGTTGAAATGGAAGGCGTAGGAGTCAACAAACATCAGTTATAGCTAGTTTTCATCTCAAAACAATGTGCAAGCCAAATGTGTTGCGGCAGAGTAAACATTTGGGTGCTTCAACTTAAACTATTGCCTTAAATAATGTGTTGTCAGGGCTCCGATTTAGGAGAGGAGAGGTTTAGCAGATCAGGCACCTAAGCGACAAACTGTAAGAGCTTGAGCCACACCATGACATTGCACTAACAATGTGTGAAAACAACATGTCCTTCGCTCAAATGTGTGAGAGCGGTTGGCTGAAGAACTAGATTGTAATTTTGATTAATCATGTGTTACAGCAGTTGAGAAAGACATCATTATCAAGTTTACAGATTTACTGTGATACAAATAAGTCTTAGCTATAAGAAATTACAAATATTCAAAAATCTCAAAAGGTCCTAAATAAAATTGTATTTACTTGAAGAAATTATATTTTCCTCATAATTAAAATCCTTATTTATGTATAGCTACTATTATAAAATATATAAGCTGCCTAGCTGAACTTAATAATAATGCAAATGTACAGGGGGCATGTATTTATGGATGACATGCACATTTATGTAAATAATAACTTCTTGGACATAGTTAAAGGGTGGTGTTACCGTGCTTGTTGAGGTTCTCCATGTTTGAGGAGTTGCCAGAGAGGCTGTCCATGGAGTTGGAGTGTGTCCACTGGGACAGGCGGGATTGGGGCTGAGGGGACTCCTTCAGGGAAAGACCCCCAACCTCCATACAGTTTACATTCATGTTTGGATTCAGTCCAGCTGCACATAAACAAAACACATTGTTTAATGGGCTGCAGAGGGAAACTGCTAATCTCGACAATTGGCAGCATCAGTATAACATCAGATTCTAATTGTTTGAGCAGAAGTATCCGCCTTGAGACTCACAGAGAGGGTAGGAGCTGTAGGCGTTGGGCGAAGACAGCGCCTCTTTGGTGTGCATTGAGTCGGAGAGGCCCGGGGACTGGTGTTGGCCTGTGTAGGGGTCATGGGTTGATTTGCCGGAACCATGGCCTCCGGCGTGGCCACCAGGGGGATGCAGACCAGCGGAGGAAGAGGAGGAGGAATGAGAAGGAACTTGCTGCTGCTTCATCAGCAGCGCTTGGTACAGCTGACGCTGGTGCTGCTGGATCTGCTGCTGCATGTTGGTGATTGTACGTGCAACCTGGGAGAGGAAAGACAATGTTAAAACAATTCATTGTGAAAAGCAATTTGGGAGGTAAACAAAGAGATGATTTGAATAATTTAGTGGCAAAAGCAAGATGGAAGAAACAATTATGAAAATATATAAAAGAGAAAGTGGGAGGAGGAACGAACCAGAAATATTAGAAAAAAGAGGATGATTAGGTTTTGGACAAAGCAAAAAGGTAGTCAGTAAAGCAAGTGGAAAAAAACCGTGTGAGAAGCAATCCTTTCAACATGCGGTTAGCTGATGATCAACAAGAAGTAACCTGTTCCCATGCTTTAAAAAAAAGGTTTGAGCAACTCCTGCTAACATTTCATAATACACCACCTTCCTCTATGTTCTCATGTGAGCATCAACATATTTGTTGAGAAAAAGATCATATGAGGTCTCACACAAGAAACGGATGACCTTCATGATCATACTTCCATACAGACTTGTTGACTCACTTGCTGCTCTTGTTGTCTAATGGGGCCGGAAACATTGCGTTGCGCCTGCATCATCTGCTGCTGGATTTGTAAACGCTGGTACGCCTGAAAGAAAAAGGAACCATAAGAGATTACAAATAAAAGAGGCCAATTGTATCTACAGTGTCTGATACACCTTATTAACCCTTCTATCCTTTGTCATGCATCTATACATGAACACATCCTTAAGTCTTGTCTTGTCACCAGTAATTAAATCATGAACTGTGTGCCTGGTTTCCTTTCCCTTTAGATTTAAGTCCAACACACACACCCTCTGCCTCAGACCTCTAAATACACACTGCATTGCTAACGGGGATAGCTCTGACTCACCATTTGCAGTTGCTGAAGTTGGTACAAGAGAGTCATTTGTTGAGGGTTTATTGGTGAGGTTAAAAGTGCAGGGTTCAGACCAATGTTTTTTGCTGCAAACTGTAAGAGCTGTGCTTGGACCTGGAGGCAGGTATGGAAGAATGGTGATACGGAAGAGAGAGATGACAGGTTAGTCATTGCAATTCACAACCACTGTACAAAAGTAGCTTCGGGCAAGGTAAAACTAGTCGCTGATACATGCACGCAAGGAGGAAAAGAGGAGAGAGGGTCTGCAAGAGGAGTCTTGTCAAGCCAAAAGGTGTAGGAGTAGTATGCTTCCCAGAGAAATAAATGTAGGTGGTGATGTTTTTTGACAGTCTTCACAATATATTTCTGCTTTTATAAAGAGTAGGATACTGAAATGATACCAACAGTGTTCTTGTCAAGTATGTAACTCAGTGAACGAGTCACAGTGTGTGTTTACTCGTTTTGGGAAAGCCAGCACTATCTGCCAGCCAACTTTTACGTGATCTTGTGTGTAATTGACCTATATAGCTCTGCACATTAAATATGTACGTGATTATGTGTGTGTTTCTACCTGAGGGGAGAGAAACTGAGGCACTTGAGCACGTAGACTAGGCTGGGAGGAGCTGAGAGGTGGCACTGGTGGCTGAGGAGGCTGCTGCTGCTGCTGCATGGCCCGGGTTTGTGCTGCTCCACTACTGCCAAACATTCCACTGGGTATCTAAACGCAGGAGTCATAAAGGTAAAGAGGAAACTTCTTTAAATCCTCCATGTTTAAAGAATCGACTAAAGCGCTGAGCCACTGAATTCTGAATGAAGGAGTGTATTCTTGACCACTCAGAAAACCTTAAGAGTAAGGTCAAGAGTTGACCACCCAACTGTCAAGTCTTTATCCATTTGATGGGTTCATTCAGTACATGAAGTATACTTGATTTGAATGAGAAAGCGCACTCAAAAGCAAACCTTGGGTCGATTACATTTCTATCCCACATAGCAATATCTAATAACATTTCAAAGCATTTTCTTTCAAGGTCTATCTTCACACTACACCCGGTCCACATTCTGAGCACTAACAGAGCAGCTAGTTGTTAGTTCATGAAATTGCAACTATTTTCTCCATTTAACACTTCATCAAGTAGCCCAATACAATCAGCTCTTAAAAGGAAGCTTAATCCATAATTTCTGATTCAATGTTGTTCGAGAGGTCTTTTCTTTCAGTGCAAAAAGGCCCGCTCACAGTGCCTTTGTTTGGGCTTCAAGGACACACTGCAATTTTTTCTGGGCCATGAATACCTCTGGGGTGATATTTGATAGAGCATAACTATCTGATTACAATGGGCACTTCAGGCAAGGTCATTCACATATAAGTGAGCAGGAGAAAAGTGGAGACTCAGGAGAGCATGTGGGTTGAGAGGGTTTAAATGATGGCCATACATCTGCAGTGTGATAAACATAGATGGTTGATTGAAATATTTTTGCAATGAATGAGGTTTGTTAGCACAGTCTGTCAGAAAATATATTCAACACATGTAATTCCTAAAAACTTACATTTCTTTCTCCTAAGCTGGGAATATTTGCTATCTGTTTTTTATTTTATTTTTTAATTAAGAACTGTTTCTTCTACACATTAAACAAGAGGGAAATGAACCAACTTAACAACATGTTGCTGCTGTTTGTATTCATGCCCATGCTCTACAATATCGTTTTACTGCAGCTCTATTTTATGGATTGTGTAACACTTTAAATGTTTCTGTTCTCTTTCCCAATTTAAGTTAGGTGATAGTGTGTGTTATAACTGTGTGTGCTCAATATGTTACCTGTCTGTTGTTCAAGTTTTGCATGGCCAGCCCCGGGTTGCCCTGTCCCAGACCCTGCCCAGGAAGGCTACTATTGGCCTGGGGGAGCTTCATGCTGGGGGAAGGCAGAAACGGTGATTGGGGGGCTTCATCTGACAGAATACCATCCTGGAACAGAGAAAATAAAAGGTTTAAGGGGATTAATAAGACGTAACACATTTTTTTATTAAGCAATAAACACATAAATATGAACTTGATTCGATTATCAGATGATGAAATAATTTCAACAGATGTTGGGAAAAGGCCTGATGGCTGGTCAGTTGCTTAATGTCTAACCTTGTCAAGATAGGAGTTGCGGTCGGAGGGGTCTTTGGAGAGTGCTGAGGGCCGACACACCATGGGCTTGTTCATGCCGTTGCTGTAATCAGACATTCCCATGCCCCGCTTGTCCAGGTCTGTCTTCTTCTCCAACAGGGCGCCTGGGAACAGGAAAGAGGTAGATTGATTATATTATAAATCTAGACGTAGAGCAATATCGTGGCACACAATCTAATGAGAATATTTCAATGTATTGATGTGATGGAATTCTGGCATTTGACTGTAAGTTGTAGTATTGCAATACACACACAAGGACACAAGTATGTGCAAACTTACTCATGGCCTGGTCAAGGTTCATGTTGTTGCTCTTCAAAGCCTCCTCAGCAGGGTCTCTCTGTAAAACACCAATAACAGTCCTGTCACTGACAATAGTGGATTTTTATGAAAGGTTCAGAGTTTTAACTTTTTACTGTTATATTATTGGTGGCTGGATTTATCATTGGATGGTTTAGACCCCCCATCAGTTTCACGACTTACCGGAAAGCCCATGTCAGTGAGTTGTTTAATGAGACGGTTCATGATCCAAGCCTCATCTGGCTTGCCTATCTTCGCCTAAAAACACACAAGCAAAGTATTAAGTTATAGAAAAGTTAATGTACATGAAATTAATTACCACCAATAAAAAGTGTATTTATGACAAGAGTCAGCTGTGTTCTCTCACCTTGCTTGGGCCTTTCTTGGGTCCATTGCCCCAGGAGTTGCAAGAAGAGCTGCTTTCCTGGGAGGTGGGGCTGTTCCACATGTCCCCCTCCTCAGTGTCCCATTGCCCGGACGACATGCCCATATCCTCTCCTCCATTTCCCCAGCTCTCTTGCATAGGTTTTGGGCCTAAGAAAGTGATTAAATAACATGACCATAAGCATTTAGTCAGTATCTATGTTGGATCATATATGCACTTTAATAATACACAAGCCAATCCAGAGTGTGAGACACAATTCATTTTAAACTTGACCACTTGGTGCCACTGTTGCCTTTTGGTACCCTGCCTTTTCCCCTACACCTCTCTACTATTTCCAACAAACTAATAGCACAAATAACCAAGATCTGCTGAGGCGTGGAATTGCTTTCATCCCAGCAACACTTCAGTAGCACTAACAAACGCTGGCAGAATTGGCACACACGGTAAAGGTCTGAGGAAACTTCCTATTTGTGTCCCCTTCACTGAAGTCTGGAAATGCACACCAAATTTCAAATGCCATTATTGCCAAGGTGATGTTAATAATACATTTATTTTTGCCATAGCCTTTGAAATTGGTACATGTTGATTTACTGTGGTACATATTGCATCACTGTTAATATAATTCATCTGTGGGTGTTACCTGGCTTGCAGGGTGCAGAACCTGTGGGTCCGTTTGCCCTGCCGTAGGGTCCAGAGGGCTCGTGGCCACCATCTCCCCATCCTCCTGCTCCCCCTGTGGACTTGCCCCAGGCGGAGGTGCCATTGTCCACAGATGATGTTGGAGCTGCTGGCTCACCCCAAGCAGGTTCTGACTTGGGCTGAACACTGGGAACCTCTCCCCAACCTGGAAGAAAGAGGTGAAATAGATTTAGTTGGAAAATAAGTTCACTGCTGAAACTAACATTTTCATTGACTAGCCATTTTTACTTTTAACTTGCAGTTATACATCAGTCCCCCTTAGGACATTGAATTAAAGACACCGTTTAAAACACCCTGAAATCTGTATCACATAATGATGTAATGATAATCCAAGTACCTGAAATAATCATCATTGTGGCATTTAACTATCAAAACTGAAAAAGCTTTGATAGTTAAATGCCGTCTACATAACTATCTATACTATAGGCTTCAGTACAGATGGGAAATAATGTATAGCTGTTCTCAGCATAAGTATGTCTTAAGGTGGCCATGATGCATTTTTGTAGCTGCAGTGTAATTGGTAAACAGCAGGGGGCAATGTTTTCATTCAGAATTAAAAAGATAGAACTTTGGGCATAAAGCTGTGCTATGTCTACATGCATGGCCTTTGTCTTAAAATATGTATTTGAACAGGCTGCAGAGCTAACTTAAGCTTGTTGTAAATAATTACAACAATGATTTTATTAGTCATTTTGTAAATCGATTGTAGAGTAAAAAATAGTTACAAAATGAATTGTGCTCATAATCAAGTAAAACATGTCAGATCATCACAAATGTGGATTCAAGAAAACATCAAGCTTTTAGGTTATTTAAGGAAAATCTGCTTAGTAGATCAATTCTGCATTTCTAAACATCTCTTTTATGTTTTTAACACAACAGCACAGATATACTGCTACCTGGGTTGGCGAGGGGGGGTCTACCCTGGGGGCCCACGCCTGGATGTTGAGTGCCATTGGTGGATGACCCATTGTTGTTTCCATGATGTTGCAGGTGAGTTGGGGGCTGGATATGATTGGGCTGGCTATGATTGGGATGGTGGTGCATGTGGTGAGTGTGATGGTGATTGTTGTTGCCGGGGCCAACTGAGTGATTGTTGTTGTTATTGTTGGGGATAATCACTCCACCATTCTTACTGGGAGGTGGGCCGCTGTTGTCTGGGTTATTATTGGGTTTGTTTCGATCCCACATGTTGACAGTCTTGCCGCTGTTTGGGGCAGGATTGCCGCTGTTTGGGGCAGGATTACCGCTGTTGGGGGCAGGATTGCTACTGTTGGGGGCAGGATTGCCACTGTTGGGGGCAGGATTGCCGCTGTTGGGGGCAGGATTGCCGCTGTTGGGGGCAGGATTGCCGCTGTTGGGGGCAGGATTGCCCCAGGTGGACGTTCCATCATCTATTTCCATCTTCCTGCGCATGGAGGGAGGGGAGGGCTCTTCCCAGCCACTGCGATCCATGCCCTGCTCCTGTTTGCTGCTATTGCCCCAGCTTGATGGGTTCTGCTTCACAGTACCAGGACCACCCCATGAACCCATACTGCCACCTCCTCCACTGCCAGTGCTACTGCTGCTGCTACTGCTGTTATTTTCCTGGGGCTTGGAAGAGCCCCAGCCTCCCTGCGCTGGGCCATTGGCATGTGGGGTCTCCCCCCAGCTGTTATTACTTACAGTAGGAGCAGGTTTACTCCAGTTTCCTCCTCTATTTCCTCCCCTGGGGCTTTCCTTCCATCCACCATCTCCACCACGTCCACCTCCACCACCACCACCACCACCACCTCCTCCATTCCCACCACCACCTCCATTCCCACCACCATTCCCTCCTTCTCCTTCCCACATGCTGCTGGAGGATCCATTCTTCTTGACCTCTGCCTGTCCCCAATCCCCTGTACTGGAGTTGTTGGGGCCCCCATTACTATTGCCCCATCCATGAGAGCTTTTAGGACCCTCTTCCCAGCCTGGGTTAGTGTTAGGCTGACTTTTTGTCATGCCATTGTTCCAACTGGGTGACTTGTCCTCAGAACCCCAGGATGATTTGCCTCCGTTTCTAGGAACATTGGTAGGCAAAGGTTCGCCCCAGCCACTGGGACCACTAGTACCATTTGGCGCCTTGCTGTGTGACTGTGGTTGGTCCCCCCATCCTGATCCAGTCTGGGTAGGCTGAGGTGGATTGGCTCTCCAGCCAGAGGATGGTAACCCTTCACTGTCACTCTTTTCTCCAGACCCAGACCTCTGACTGGGGCTAATTTGTGGATTGATGGTACCTCCAGTGTTGGATGAGGGTCCACCAGTGGATTTGGAGACTGCCATGGCATCTGAGCAGCTTTTTCTCTTCTCATCATCAGAGTTAGCTTCTTCCATCTCCCATACAGTGTGCTGTCGAATGGGGGTCTGTCCCCAACCCGTGTTACTCAGCACCCTAGGGTCCAGATCCTGCCGGGGTAGAAGAGGGGTACAATCCGTGCTGGAGGTCCTGTCTCTGTGGTCAGTTTGACTTTCGGTGCTGTCCCTACTACCCTCACTTTCTGGGGCTGGTCTTGGCTGCTGGCCCCATGAGCTAAGTGGCGGTTCTTTGCCTGAACCAGAAATACCAGCGTCTACTGAGTCCCAGCCTTTAGTTGCTTCTTTGCTTCCACCAGAAGATTTCCCCCAGTCACCCCAGCCACCACTTCCTCCGCTGCCCCCACCACCACTGCCTTGGCGGCCCCATGCAGAATGCCCTCCAGATGGAGTCGAGTCCCAGCTGGATTCCTTGGGGGAGTCAGCTGCCTTGGTTTCTCCACTACCCCATACAGAGCTGCCTGTTGTGTCCCCATTGAGCTGGGATGATTCAGTGGGGGACTGGCCTCCCCAGCCAGTTAACCCATGAATAGGGCTCATAGGCTCCTGAGCTTGCTGCTGCTTAGTGTGGTTTGGTCCATCAGTGTTAAGGTTAGAAGGTTCCATTTTGTAGGACATGTTTGTGTTGGTTGAAGGGTGCTGTTGATCATGTTCATTGGAACTAATCAGGCCACCCCAACCTCCACCACCATTCTCTGCACCTCCCAGTCTCCCATCTCCCATGTTTCCATTGCCATTAATACCTGGTGGAAGGGATGGGGAGTTTGACACTGCATTAGGGCCAATACCACAACCAGCCTCTTGGCCGAGAACAGGCCAGGCTGATGGGTTGGCATTGGGATTGAGGTTCATGTTAAAATTGGGAACCCCCCAGTTATTGGGCATTCCTACTCTGCCACCATTCATACCATCTTGTTTCCCATCTGCGCCCCAACCTCTACTACCACACGTATTGGCTGGCCCATGTCCTGTCATCATGTTATTGTTGGCTTTAAGAGAGGGGTAGTGGGCCGGCTGGCCTGCCGCACCTGTGGCCATACTCAGATTTCTACAACTACTGGTGGTTGTGACAGCACTGTTGTCTGTGTTTGAGCTAGCTGAGCCCAAGGTGCATTCTTGTGCTGCGGTATGGCTGGTGTCACTACTGTGGTTGATGGAGGGCCAAGCTTCCGTGTCACTTTTGTCAATATTCACTTTGTCCCAGCTGTTGGCACTGGAGCAGCTGTCAACTGGCAAAGAGGCTCCCCAATGAGAGGTCTCATACTGGGCAATACAGCCACTCTGGAGGGATATGTCTGAAGAGAAAAGAAAGAGAGAAAGAGAGGCAAAGTTGAACACAGGAATACATCAAGAGGTAATTGTAAATAACCAGTCAGTCAGAGAGAAACAAAAGAAGATTTGAGCCACATAATATGCAGAAATGCAAGAAGAGATTGAGTAACAGGAGTAGACACAAAGAATAGCAAATCAAAATAGGAAAAAAGGTGGTGTGGGGAGGATGAAAAATATACATTTGGCTAGGCTAAGAGAAATTGTGTAATACAGCCCCTGTAACTCTCGAGGACCAATTTTATCTTCTTGGTTGGTTAATGCTAGCTATCAGGCTTCTTGGCAGGAGATGGTCACACTCGCACATTCCACAATCTAACACATAATCAGAATGCACAACCAAGCGTGCTCCATGTCATATCAGCTATGGCATATCCATATATCCTTGCTTGGTGCAGTCGGCAATACAGAAACAGGGAGATGGAGCCTTTGCTTTCACTTCCATCCTTCATTCTCTTTCCAACTTGTTTCCTCTTTCACGGCAACTGTTTTATCCCTTATGTCCATCGAACTATTTAACTACCCTTATCTATTATTACCCCCCTTCCCTTTTCTTTCTCTGTCCATGTAACCTCCCCTTACTTTCTGCCCCTGCATCTCTTTCCTCACCCTTTAACTTCTCCCTCTCTCCCCTTTGCTCTCTTCTAACACGCAGCAGTGAGAGGCCCATCCGTCTACATCGTGGTTTCACTGGCTGGGGCGGTGAAGGGAAGCCCAAGTGGAACGCCGCTCATCCATCACTCCCTATGCTCCGCCAGGCCTACTCCTCCTCTGCACTAAGAAACCACCAAACTACACAAGCTTGTGTACATTTGTGTGCATGTGCTAGCCAACATTTTGAAATATGCATACCAGCATTTCTATCACAATTTAGGAACTAAGGATTGAATGTAAATGTTGTCCTACAAATTAAAGGCGGTTTAAGCATGATCAAAATTAAGTATTCTCAACAGTTCCCTTACCAACATGGCACAAAAGCAATTTCATTTGGCACAAAAGCATCCCATAAGAGGGGGAACTAATTATAGACTGATTCAATGCTGTAAAGGGGTAATCTATCAGTGGGAGGCAGCTAATCAATTATCTTATTAATGCTAGTGGATGAGAGAAGGGAGAGTATCGATCCAGCATGCAAACATTCTAACCACTGGGCCAGCTTCATGTAATGGGCCGAAAACCAATGAGAACAGCTAGGAGCACACAAAAAGAACACAGGATAACAAAGGCTATCAAGGGATATATTCATCAAATAACTTATGAGGAGAAAGGAAAATTAATGTGTATCATATACCAACTAATATGTGTGCATGAAAGCTAGATATTTATCCCAGTATGAGTGTTATTAAACATTTCTCAAATGTTGATGTCTTAGTAGTGAAACAGCAGACACATTACTGTAAATACAATGTCTTCTAATGCAAATATAGTTCCTTATGACAAAATACATGCCTCATATATCTTTTGATGGTTGTAATGCATTAAACATGAGCACAGTGTGATGCCAGACCATATACAACACATTCAGTCTTTTCCAACAAGCATTAGAAGTCTATTAGACAATAATACATTTCTGGCTACCCTCCTGAGCTGCTACAGGAACCGTGCCTCACTAACCTTTAATTAGAAGACCCAGGCTGTGTTTGTAAAACATTTCCCTTCTTTGGTTATTAAACTGTTTTACCTCCCATTACTATTCCATTAGTTTCAATCAGATCGTTGCTGTGATTTCCATAATAGCTATACGTTATCCATCATGAGATAAAGACCCAGTGGTCAAAACAATCCAGTCTGGATAGTCTGTTTGTTTGACACACAAACGCGCAGATATGTTGCTTTAAGATACTGTGCAACACACCACTCGGTGGCTGTGAATGCAATTTCCATCTGAACACACTTATCTTCACTCCCCAGGCAGCCTTATCGCACAGTGTCATCAGAGTGATGGCTCACACACGCACGTACGTACAGACACCAGTATGCAGTCATTTGGCAATAAGTAGACCACAAAATAAACAAATAAAACGTCAAAGTTAAAAGGCCTGATTTGGGTTTGTATGAAAAATGTCAATAGTAGTCCAGACAACTAAAGTAATGCTTACACATAAACCTGTTAAATCAAAGCTTGATTACCAATTGTTGCTGCCTGGTGTCTAAGTGACAACAAACTAATATAGCTTTAAGGAATAATTGTAGAAGATATTTCAGGGATTTAGAATGTAACTCCATTATATATGAGTGTCAAAGATAATGGATAAAGTGAAGGATGACATCCATAGTGTTCATTTTTGCGTATAGGAAAGTAGTGAATATTTATTGAGTGCACGAGATTTCACTATAGCTGAACTCATTGAAGTCAACTGAAGGCATTTTCTGTACAAGGACAACATTATATGTTTAAATGTATCTCAGGTATGTACACTTAGTCTTTTTCTTAAATAAATCTAAATGTATTTTTCTTTTGTTTGGACTTCCACCAACATAGTGATTTATGTGTATCTTCTTAAACAAAGCCTGGTTTGGAACTATTTCAAGTCTATTGAATGTGGCGCATGCCTGCTAAGGCCAGTGGGTGTGAAGAAATAAATCAAATATCTATCTTTCTCTCAGTTATATTTGCAAATGTTCTCTTGTTACATTAGAAGTGCATCAAAGCCTGGAATGCAGCCATCTCTTTAGCACTCCTGTCACAGACACTGCAACAAACCAACATTTAACACAAAAAAACATAGAAAGGAATGTGTGTTGCCTGTGTTCTCAAAAAGGGGTCATCCAGGGAGAGAGTGGAAAAATACCTGAGAAGAGGTGCTCCAGCGCCACTCTTTTAAAGCCATTACACAGATGTCTTCTATGTCTGCAAGCTAGCTACCCGGTTGTTTCTTAAACCAATAGTATGTGGATTATGTGCAGGCATTAGTGGAACTGTGTGCAGTGTATATAGAAAATGTGTGCAGATATGTAACATTATAAGCTCGACCAAATAAATATTTGATGTGAATTATTGAATTGTTTTTTTCTCTAGACATCATTGGTGCTAATGCTATTGAGTCTACCCCTTTAAATGTGTACATGCTGTGTGCCTGTATGGACTAATGCAGAACAGCCTCTCTGCTTTCACCTCAACATGCACTGATTGTTCGCCCTTGACTCCCTCCCCAGACATTCCAATAGAAAGGTCTGACTGATTCTTGGCAAAGCAGCGATATAGCAGGGGGAGACGAGAGCAAGCTCAACATGAAAAACAAAGAAAAGGGGACAGTTATTTCCATCCACCATTTGCAATCATGTGTCAGTTATGTGGTGCTGCTTTCAGTCTGCGTGCAATTAGGAGGGCAGGCTCCTATTATCCTTTGTGAATGAAAAGGGTTTCAAAAAACGACGGGTTCCTTTCCCTTTCTGCTTGTCATGCACCCAACACTGAGCAAGGTTCTTTCTTTTGGTATATACGAGTCTATGCATGAAGATGCAGCCTTGATCTCTTCATAGGAGAAATAATAATAACAACAAATTCCTAATGATGAGCACGCACGCATTATTTTTGCTCGAAAAGTGAGAGACAACAGCAACAACACATTGGCAGGCTGGCTTCGAGGTTTCAGAGTTGAAACAAAGATACGCATAGATCTTCGAGATTGAAACGAGCTGCCATCATAGAAAATGGGCAGGTAGCCAATAATGAAATGCCTCTCCTCCCCTTTAAATTAAATGAGGGGCAGGGTGAGCGCAAGAGAGAGAGTTGTAGGGAAAGATGGAGGAAAGTATTGGGGGAAGGGTTGGCACTTGCAGTGGCAAGGGAAAAGAAAGGGAGACAGTGGGAGAACATACATGAACAGGCTATAAGAGATGGTGAGACAAAAACTGGAATCCTTCATTTCACTGTGAGCGCAAGACTACACTTCGATTTCTCACTGCAAAACGTGGGATGACATAACACCAGAACCAGAGGGGACATTTAGTAGTCTTTTGTCCCCAAATAGACCCTCTCCATCTCTCTTTGAGGGGTGCTTTATGCCCACTCGGATCAAAGACAGCATGTACTTGTTTCTCCGGAAGCAGGGAGGAAAAGAAAGAGTAAGGAAATGGTCACAGGAGGCTTTAAAAAGTTCATTATTCATGTCTGTATACCTCTGCTTAGAGAAGAGAAAAAAAGGGAGAGTGAGATCATTGTGACTTCTCTGGTTTCCCTGACAGAGGCTGGATTAATTAAGCCACTAGGGGGTTCTCTCACGTGTGTGTGTGTGTGTGTGTGTGTGTGTGTGTGTGTGTGTGTGTGTGTGTGTGTGTGTGTGTGTGTGTGTGTGTGTGTGTGTGTGTGTGTGTGTGTGTGTGTGTGTGTGTGTGTGTGTGTGTGTGTGTGTGTGTGTGTGTGTGTGTGTGTGTGTGTGTGTGTGTGTGTGTGTGTGTGTGACAGCCATTCACATGGGGCAATCTATACCTCTCCGGCTTCATTATGGCAAAGTGCTCTTGTGATTATGATTTTAAAACATACAAGATTTAAGTGGAGGTTATTTTACATCTCAAGTGTACCAAGGTTGATGAGGCAGATCTGCCTTTCCTTAAGAAAGTACTTGAAGAAAATAACATGTTCTAAAAAATGTATTCGATTTTTTCAAATTACAACCTATATTTTAGTTAACGATTTCAAAATACCCATTTTAACTTAAAGCGACACTCTGTTCCATCTCCACATTTAACTCAAATTAGATATGCTCCAATGCCTGACTGCTTTACCTGCAAAACAAAGAGAGCCCAAGTGAAAGGGATAAGTGTTTTAGCAGCACCCGGCAGAGTGCCTTCTGGCTATAAGCTGTGTCTGGGTGACGAGCAAACAGCTGTTGGGCTGCAGTTCCCACAGTCTTAAGAGACCCCCACTCAAGCACCTGCTACTGGGGAGTCTGTCTGGACGGCTGCTGGCTGACGGCTACTTAATGGTCCCCAGTCAGCTGGAGAGACTGGGATGGTGGGGGTGATGCAGGGAGGGGAGAGGGGACAGGGGGTCTCTGTCTGCTGTTGGGGACACTCAAAAAGGGTTTGGAAAGCGGAGGTTAGGTGGGAGTGGTGTGACTGCCCTTGAATTTAGAGGGGGTTGCCTTTCAGACTTTGGGGATGGGGCGGTGTGTGTGCTGTTCCTGCTGGAATCTTATAAATCACACACAATTACATTTAATAGGGCTTCTAAATTAAATCAGTAGGATTGTTCTGAACCAAACAGAGGAAAGCAACGAAACAAATGGGTCAAAATTAATTAATTTTAAGCACCTAAGCATATACTGTATATCGAATAATACTGCAGTATGAACTAACATGCGTGTGCGTGTAGTGTACCCTTTAAACCCTGAGCCAGCTGGCCTGCAAGGCAGACACAGATCTGAGAGGACACAACTAGGTCAGACTAGTGTGTTCTTCCTGATGTGTATCCACTACATCTATCCACATGTGTTTGTGATTGCATGTGCACAAGTGAAAAAGTTCCTGCTTGAACATTATCACGTCCCTTTGGGCCACAGTCACCTCCCCAGAGAGGTCAGAACAATGTCCTCAAAACAGAGTTCATCCCTCACTTACAGTTACACTAAGGAAGTAAACGTGTGTGTATTTGCAGGCAGGCTGCATTAAATAATACATGAACATGATACTGGGATTTTGACAAAAGTAGACATTTAGATTCATAATATGGCAGAAATGATTCTCTTGCGTAAGATAATGCTGTACATAATTCTTGACTTGAAGATCAACTTAATTGCATGACCTTTGTTTAAATGGATGAATAAGTTCAAAACACAAATTGCAAATGTGTAGTCTTCCAAACATAGAAATCATGCAAAAATAAGATGTTATTTTTAGGTTATTTTTCATGCTCTTCTAATACAAAAGTAGTAGTTTGTGTAAATGAAGCAAAAAGCCTTAACCTTCTAGCACAGGGTAGAAAGTTTAACTACAATGTCCACTCTTTAAATTATGCACGCCAGAATATTTGCAACAACAGGGCCACTAGCTTGCGGCTATTACTGGTGCAGACAGGATAGAACAGGCTGGGCAGGCAGTGAGAGGCCCCTGGGAAAACCAGGGCGAGGTAAAGGATAAACAGGATAACCAGCGCTGAACTATGACGATTATAAGGACAGTATAGGTTAATAAACTGAACAAGGCGAGCTTTCTGAAGCCATTACTTTATTTAAATTTGAAGGCTTATAGGTATTGCAGAGTGGTCCTACTTATTACTAAAATGTTGTTTGTGAAAGGCTCAAAGAAAGCTGTATAATTCAGTCTTATTTATCTTTCATCATATGGACTACTAAATACACAAGACACAACACAGAACTCTTAACATATTCAGGCTCCATATTTGTTTGGAGCTGGGATTAGTGGCATAGGCCCAAGTACAAGCACATCAGTGACTAGACGAAGACTAGGACCGGTTTCCTCTGTGATGGCTGCTGACTAGCAAGCCTTGCACCACAGCTGCTGCAGATTTATTTACCGAGTACCTGGTGTTGTTCCAGCAAATGTTGAGACAGTAATGAAAGGCAGAACAGAGTAGCAAAGGAGCACTGATGAAAAGAGAGAAAGATAAAAAGGACTCTGGAGAGAAGAGAAGCTCAACAAAGATGAGAGCAGATTCTCATGCAAGCTCCTGCTAACCTGAACATGAAAACACTGCGTGGCATCCTACAGAAATATCTTTGCATCTATTCCTACAGAGAGACCGAGTGTTGTGTTAGAGGATGTGAGGAGCATCTTTGTGTCTGTTGACATTATTAAGCAGATGGTTGTGATTGGTTTACAAAGGAACACCTTGCAAAAAGCAGAAATAATGATTACAGAAATCAAAACATCTCGCGCATGAAAGCGAAAAGAAACACCGAAGTCAATAAACTGAGAGAAAAATAAATGCAATAATGATATAAATAAATCATAGCCATCTTTTATCACCCCATTACTTGCATATAAATACACCCAAGCAGCCACACAATCAGCACCTTAAGGCAGGTTCAGTATTAGTGATCTTAGGGGCCACCGGTGAGTTCATTAAAAGATTACCGCTGGCTACAGAAGTCTGAGAGAGTGTGTGCGTATTAATGTGTGTGTGGCCCTGAGTCTAGCACTAACTATTTTCTTCTCAATTAGACTTAAAAATCTAAACAAGATTTTTCCAAGGCTTTTAAATAATTTACCGTTATTATTCCTGGTGTTAAAAGCACCGGGATCCAGACCAGCACACTAATAGCACAGACCCTTGGAAACACGCATTAAGCTATCTGAATCCGTTTAGAATGCCAAGGAAGGGAAACATTGAAAAGCAGAGGTAGCAGCCATTTGTAAATTAGTGTAGACTTGAGTCTTACATTTTAATTTGGCTTCAAATTGGTCAGCTTCCTACATAATTTAGGAGCTGCTGTAGCTCATCATTATGTACACTGACAGGAAGTGAAAGTGTGCCTTTAAACTACAATTATAATCACCATCATGTATTATGCCCATAATGCAGTTAATGTCTCAATGCTGCCTTGCATACCACTGTCTCTCTGCCAAGCCAATTTCACAACATTTGGAGAAGTCAAAGTGAGAAGTATGAGGCAAAATGATCGATTTGTATGAAGTTAAAAAGGTGAACATTTTGCACACAGCCACCACAAAAGCTTTAAATAAAAAAAAAAAAGGGATGACAAATTGAAATCAGGATATGATCCAGGGTATTTTGTGTTCACTGTATTGACACCAACCTGGGTGGCGTTTGTTCGCAGCGGACGTGGCAGAGTTTGGGGATGTGCTGCCGGTAGTCGTAGAAGAATAAGATGATGAGGGCGAAGAGGAGGAGGAGGACGAGGAGAGGGTGAGAGCGCTGAGGGCTCCTGCAGGCAGTGGCTGGCCTCTCTTCAGTAGCTGCTTGTGCTCCTGCTGGCGGAAGCGGGGTGGCACCTCTCTGGGCGGGTAGCGAGCACTGGCAGAGGACAACTGGCACTGCTGCTGAGGGGGGGTCTGAGTCTGGAGCTGGCTACTGGAGGAGGCGCGCTTGCCATTGCCAGAAGAAGAAGAAGAGGAGGAGAGGGGCAGCGTAGGGCTGGCAGGGTGGAAGTGGTGGGGGGGGCCGGGACTGGGCTTAGTGGGAGCAGGGTCTGGCACTGGATGGATACAATACACAGACAGAAAGACACACGCAGGTAGCAAGGTATTAATGTCTGGGTCAACTCTTTTAGTCCTTTGTATAACAGATATTACATTTGGCTGATATCTGACAACTTGTTCCAAAAAAATAGTAACTCAAACTTTTTGTAAGAGGGAAATCCTGTAGAAAATTAATCTCAAGTTATATTCTAGCAGTATGTGATGGAGTGGTCATATGCATGGGGAGGATGTTTACAGATTGCACAGCAGTCATGTTTTACTTTCAGTTCATGCAGTCTCCAGAAATGACATTGTGTATTGTATTTGTTGTATAGCATTCTGCAGGTGTTTTTCATTTGTATGCACTGTATGGTGCTGTGGACTGTCCCTTTAAGTTAACCGCCTCATGCAGCTTTTGAGCCAACATATGTTACCGGCCCAGACGCACTCTATGAAAAGGTCATATTATTTTCTGCTGACTGAACACAGACACACATAAACACATAGACACCTCCTTTCCTCCTCATTACACAGTCTTCTCTTGCAACCCCACACACACACATACACAAGGACACTCTCACACACACCTTTCCCTGCTGGTTTGGCCTCAGCCTGGCCCTTTCCCTGTGGTTGAAGTGACCAGCCAGCTATCTAACTGAGTGTTAGCCTGAAAGGTGTTATTATTAGTAGGATCTGGACAGCTAGCACCAACCAGATTGGCTTGTCTAACATTTCCTCCCCACGTTGCTGAGAGAAGGAAAAAACACACCGTCTGATCTATACACTGAATACTTCTTTATTAAGCTGGAGAGTCTGTTGCTGCATGCACCTAGGAGGAAACCGAACTAGGTCTGATTAGGCACCACTCTACCTGAGAGGTTCCTGCTGCGCACAAACAGCTGCTTTCATAATGCCTGCCAACTGCTAGTGACCTAAAAGCTGCCGTAAATTACAGTTTCTTGGTCCATGGCTGAATGCATGATGAATAGAGCTGATGATGTTGTTTTCTCTAGTCCCTAGATAGATATGCCTGTTCTACACAACAGCTGAGACTGCCTTCACTCAGGGGAGCAAAGAGAGACGAGGGGACACAGGTTGTGTGAGTGTGTGTAGAGGGAAGGGGGATGTTTTTTTCTTTCAAACAATGAAATAGTGGCAAATTGATGGCATGGAAATTATGTTTTCATTAAAGCTTCACTCTGTCCAGCATCATAACTATTCCTATAGCAGGCCTGCACTGCAGTGCTGGCAATGACCCACAAAGTAACACACAGGCCAAATCTGCCACACTGGAGGTTAAAGTGAATTCAGAGGGCAGAGGTATTCAATGTGTCTGCCAAAATCTTGTGGAAAAGTGGGAAAAAAGGGCTCTCAGTGAGCACAACAATAATCCAGATGGCTGCCTAGCTGCTGTTTCTGACAAACAAACAGAAACATTTAAGAAACTTGAATTTGCAGACAAAGCCAAAATATAACTATTTATATGGATAACCTGTTTTTCTTCTAGTCATACCTAAAGATAAGCAAATCTCCACGTGTATAAACGTGTGGGCCTCTATGTGTTTCCTCAAAAGTTCAAGACACAAAAAAGACAGTTTCACAATTGTTTTTACCCCCTTTGACCGATGAAGTTTTAGTGAAACACACATGCAGAGAGGGGGAGGGAGAACGAGAGAGAGAGAGAGAGAGAGAGAGAGAGAGAGAGAGAGAGAGAGAGAGAGAGAGAGAGAGAGCCCTCCAGCAGTATCTGCCTGGCTGTTGGCTTTGAACTGCAGCTGGTGACGCACATCTCTGATTAAATTCATGTCGGCCCGCCTGACGCTGCCTCGTCCAATCAGACAGCAGGACAGTGAATGCACGCTGCCCTGCCCCCTCCCTCCTCTGTCTTTCCATCAGCAGCTTGCACCGTATCCTCACTGCATCTCCCTTTCTCTTGTCTGTGCCTACCTGTCTCTCAGCCTGGCGTTCTCTTCCCACTTTGTTCTTCTCCCTCTGGGCCTTTATCCATCTTGATCCTTTTTCTCCTCCTTCTCTCTTCTCTCCCTTGTCTCGTTTCTGTCTTCTTACCTTGCCATTTCCCTGATTCCAGACATCAATCTCCTGACTCCAAATGACTACCTCAGCCCAGAATCTCTCTCCCAGCTTTCTTTTTCTTTCATCTCTTCCAACTCCAACAAATGTGTCTACTTGGAACACATTGTGTGCCCCTCTCTACTGTGAGGTGCTACTATAGAAGGTTTTGAGAAAATGTTTGAATAAACCTAATTAAGTCAGATTTGTAATGGCTCATGAACAACCATGATGCAGTTTGCACCAGGTGTTGCTCACTACTGAAACAGAAGCAGAGATAAAATGGGTTCAGAATGCATGCATATTAGGTGCACATAATGGTTGTTATAACTTATAATGCAGTTTAGACCCAGAGTAAGGACTTTCATTTAAAATGTAAATGATAGTTAATGTACCCAAGTACTGACTCGTTGACAAGCAAAAAACACAATTAAAAATAACTGTATTTACCAATAGTTTTGGTGTACGAAAATGTCTTTTTTAGCTGCAGTACTTCAAAGATGGGCGTTTTGGTTCTCTGCCTCTTATGATCTACTTCCCGACAAACATCAAAGTTTGCAAAAACATAAGTTTGCAAACAAAAGGAATTCCTTCTTTACCACATCTTTGCAATTCATACACATGGGTTTCCAGAGCTCCTGAGATTTAGTCTTAGTTCCCTGAACAATTTAGTAAAAAAGACACATAAGGAAGTTACTCAGTCAGCTCACTGTTCATTTCTGCTGCCAGCATGGAACAGGAAGCAGATGAACACAAACAGACAAGCAAGTCCATTAGCTTTGGTTTGCCTCATACACCCATTGCTTCATACAGCCTGTGTTTGTGTTGTTGTAGTAACAAGGATGTATCCATGCTCCCTGATGTCACTGATGACCACATCTAATATCTGCTGCACAAGCAATGACACAAGTATCCAAAAAGAAAGCATGACCCATTTAGAGCACATGGTCACAAACCTATTCAACATTATTCTATGCTCGCAGAAAAAAAAAATGATAAAATGATCTCAAATCTTTTAAGGAAAGTGCTGCCATAACAGCATCCAGTTGGGTTATGTGTAACCATCTAAAGTGTAATCTGTATTAAACAAGTATATCAGTGATAATTAGCGTTCTTTTGAGAGGGAATGAGTGTCTGGTTGCAGACATACATACACAAGTGAGAAGAAAAGAAAGTCGGTCTGAATGATTAATGCCCCGGCCACACGAGGACGAAAACGGTCGTTTGCGTTACTGTTTAGTGTCATATAGACCGTTCGGCCACACGAGGACGACCGAATACGGCACTAAACGACTGCGGAAACGATAACGGATCCCAAGGTGGATAGAACGGCATACGCAACGCTCTGGGGGGGTCCAACGGCACCGTGTGTACGCCCTATACGATCATTTTCTGATAATGATGAGGCAATAGCCCCGCCTCTCCCCACCTCTGCTGCTCACCCCTGCGTCAAAGTAAACTGCACACTGAATTCAGATTATTTATCTTTCTCTCGATATGGACATAAACGCGAGTGAAGTCTAATCTGACAGGACGGAGACACCTCTCAAACTACCTAAACTAGTTATAAATATGTTTATTTTTACTGTCGGCCGGGTCACTCATTACTGGATCAGCTGCTGCATGAAACAGACACTGGCGCTGTCCGAAGAGAGGGAGGAACAAGAGAGGCTCCGTGTATTTTATTATTATATTATATAGATTCGTTATTCATTTGTTTTAAAGCTCAATAAATAACAAAGAAGACTTTTGACCGGCACTTTTATAATTTTGGCGGAAGATTTAAACTTTAATACACGTTGACTGGCGAAAAACTCTGCCCGGTTCCCTCGGCCCCCACCGCGGAGAATAAACAGAAGGGCAACCATGACAACCATGCTTCTTCGCTGCTTTTGTGGAGGAAGTTACAGCGCCACGTACAGGCTTGGCATATGTACTGCAGCTTCTCCAGCGGTTGGAGCTAAACGGAGCGGTCTCGTGTGGACAGACACTATCCGGATGACTATTGCGTGTGGACGGAAGCTTGTTTGAGATTGCGTTTGTGTTAATCCTATGCGTTTAGCCGTTTTCGTCCTCGTGTGGCCGGGCATAAGATGTGAGAAGAAGAGTACGTGAGAGAGAGCTTCTATAAGAGAGATTTTATCTATAATCTATAATGGATGAGTACATGCTTTTGAAGAGTTGGTGGTTAGAAAAAAAGACTATTAAGGGGAAAAAAAGAGAAAAGTGGGGAAATCCCTTAGAAAAAGGTGTGTAAGGAAAGTGAAGAGCATGCTGGTTACACCTACTGCAAGTGAAAGGCGATTGAATAGACACATTTAATTAGTTATAGCTTATATAACTGTATGACTTACAGCTTGATTGAGAGAGGTAAATACAGGGGTATTAAAGTTACAGCAGAGCAAGTCAGTGTTGTGTTTTAAAAGCCACATTAAGACTCATGTGGTGGTGGCCTTAGCACCTCTAATTGAAGTTGAAAAGGAGAGCCGATTAAATTAGCATTTGTATCAAGTGCACTGTAAATTCCATTAAACCCTCCAGCTGAGGCGCTCTCTGCAACCTTGCACCAAACTTTTAATTACAGCCCTTCTTCACACTAAATGGTTAATTACACACAATGAGAGAGAGCGAGACAAAGAGCAACTGCATAAAAATAGAGAACAAGTGAGCATAGATGAAGAAAATTAAATCATACAAGGCAGAGGGAAATGCACAAATGAATCAGATATAGAGCTAAACAAAACAAACAAGGCTTATTGGGCAAGAAGTAATGATATCTGCTTTTGTAAACAACAACTGTGGTTGGTTGGTTCCCTGCGCCGGGTGCCAGGCAGCGCCGGTTCCCACATCTCTTCTGTCTATTGTCTGCAGAGCCACTTTATTATGCAGCCATGTTTATAGAAGGGGGAGGGAAGGACGCAACACACAGGCCTATATGCCCTACACA